AAAAACTAAAGTTTTAATGTTTGCATTACAAGCTTCAATTAATATTCAAAATATCTAACATACCAGCTGTCATCACCTACTACCCATACATTGCTTATATAAAGCCGAAGCTCCCTGAAAATAACATAGTCCGGAACAGCGATCGCTTATGACAATAAAATGAGTGGTTTTTAGCGTTAAAAAACACAAACAGCAGCCAAATTGTGATAAATGATTGTCCCATCTTTTAAAAACAGCCAGCAGTTAAAATTTATTTTATCAGATCGCGTCACCTGGTGGTAACAAAAATCTCTAAAATAATACTACATAGTTCTCTCTTGCAAGCATTCAGACAATCAGATTTATAGGCTAACCCTAGCATTCAATGGAAAAAATTCCCGACAGTCTTTAAATTGTGTTAAAATGACAAGCCATTTTATATACCAATTAAGGCTACAAAAAATTAGTTGAAAAATGAAAGGTAGGTTAGTATAATTGCTTTATTTGCCGAATTAATGAGAATTAAAACAGAAACTAGACGGCAGGTGGGAGCTACGAAGGATATGGCAAGGTTTTTCTAAAGAGTACAGAAAATTTTGTTGTCAGGTCATAACTCATGAGTCATTAACAGTGGCGTTTTATGGAGTTGAACAGGAGACACTCAATTTCGGGGCCCCCAAAATTTTCTCTTATCAACAGCAGTTAAAATAAATTTTCCTATCGATTTTCTAATAAGCTTTTTTCGTCTAAATTTACAAATACGAAAGTATGATATTTTTTGTTCTCTCCTGAAATATACGTTTTTCCTAACATCAGCGCCCACACTCTGCAGTTTAAACTGTAGCTGTCATCGCTTTATGTCAAACAATGTTCATTTAACATCAGCTCTACCTAAAATAGTGTGTTTCTGATTGATCTTGTTTAGCCTATAAAATACTACCAGTAAGTACATTACATCAGGCTAGGCTTACTTTAACAGATCTGCAAATGTATAGTGGGACTGATCACACAGACTAAAACATATCTATTATTAAAATCATATTGTGTCTCCCATTGGATCTAGACAAGCAACTCTAACATGTTTACAACAGTAGGCCTATTAAAAAAAGGTATGGAGAGATGTTTTCAAATTTTCTTATCTGAATCAAATTTTCGTACAGTTAAAATTTAAAAAGATAGTTTTAAGTTATAATCAAGCACGATTTTAAAGTTATGTAGCTATAATATCAAACATATTTATCCTGAATTCAAACTCCAGTAATAGAAGTAGTAATTGAATATTATTCCCCTGTATGTTTCGCCATTTAAGCCTAATAATTTTTATTTTCATTAAAACAATTTTAAACACACTCCTTCCTAAACATGTTAGACAAAAGCGTCGCTAGACTAATTGAACTTTTGTTAGTCAACACGATATGTCGCTAGTATTTAAATATACTGTAAATATTCATGGTTGTTCCACGTAGGGTGGTTTGAGATATTCTTCGATTACTTTTATATTCTGTAGAAGAGCTTTTCTAGTCATTTCTTCAATTCCTGATGTATTTAGACTAGTTTATATTTCACATGTTTATGCGGATATCCACTTCAGTGACTTAGATACCGAGAGAGCCACCTAATACAAAGGGTAAACGTGTATAAATTCTTTTGTTAGATCCCCATCAGTTGACTTTTTTTGGTCCTATCTTGGAATACTAGAGTATTGCCACTAGTATTTGTTTACTTATTGTCTTTCATTTCACACACACACACACACACACACACACACACACACACACACACACACAAATATATATGTGTATATATATATTATATATATATATATATATATATATATATATATATATATATATATATATATATATATATATATATATTCGTGTGTTGCTGTTGTTGGATGATACATTGCAGGGCTGGCGTAGGATCAGCATATCAAAGTAGTGGCACCTAGCCCGCAGTTATCTTGTAGTTTAATGATTAAACTAATTCTTGAAATTAAAGAAAGTTGTACGCTAATTTATGTTCATTACCTCCCATTTTCACCATCTGTTTATCAAGGGATACAACCAGTAACTATATTCCCAAAAGTCATCAAAAACAAAAAGTTATTTTATAGTGATAAAAATATGCAAACTAATGGTTTTTGCATATTTAAACTATGTTTATAAAATATTAATATAATTGTTTCGTGTATATTTAATGCAAATTATACATATTTTGTTTATGATTTGACAATACCTTAAGCATGTAGCCATTAAGTTTCTTAAAAACAAATTAATTATAAAATGAAAATTCATTACTTTTTTGCAGTATAAGACAAACTAAGTAGGCCTATTCTTTTCCATTATGTTGTATTTTATTTTTCTAATGGTAATAATGTTTGACTTCATGTGTCTTATTGCACGCAACATATCACACAGGCTACTTATAACATTTATAATATTACTTTGCTTTCCCACATATATTAATCAGCTCTAGTTGAAAGCTTATACCCCATCAACCCCCACCGCCGCAAAAAGACCCTTCGATTTTGTCGTTTTTTTTAAAATAATATTTATAATATTATTTTTCTTTATTATTTTTCTTTAATCCCTAATTTATTTCAGCTCTACTTGTAAGCCCAAATCCCTTCAACCGACCCAATCAAACAAACCTTCTATTGCTAAATAACAATTTAATTACACATTTGCAATTTTAGGTTTGAAATTAACATTGTTATTTGACGTTTAAATGAATGAAAGTACATGTAAAGAAGAAGTATTACTATTGTAAACCTGTATCCGTCTACAAAAGCCGATGATAACAACTGTTATACTAAAGCTTACATAGCAAGGCAAACTGATGCAGTAAGCTGGGGCATGCGAAAATAATTTTACAATCATACAACATATGGGAAAGTTGTCGGGAAAATAAAAACTGTGTTGAATTCTCCTCAATCGTGTTTAATTTCCCGGCCCATTTCCTATATCATTGGCCGAAATAAACGATATATATATATATATATATATATATATATATATATATATATATATATATATATATATATATATATTTATTTATTTATTTATTTATTTATTTATTTATCGGGAAATTAACCCCCCGGGCAACATTTAAAAAATCCGTTTATAATAAGACGATTTATATCTGCAATAAGTGAATGTTATACAAAGTGTAACAAGCTGTTATGCTGAGCACACTAGTGAATGTTATACAAAGTGTAACAAGCTGTTATGATGAGCACACTAGTGAATGTTATACAAAGTGTAACAAGCTGTCCTGATCACCATAAATCTTTATTGCAGCTTTCATTCTGTCGTGACTTTGTTGAGATTTAAATGACACAATACTATTTGAAAAACATTTCTGCTCAAGCAGTAGAGGTTAAAAGCTGTAACAAAGCAACAAATTTGTTAACAAAGGTACCGATCTAGCAGAGGCCATTTACAGGATATTTTTAAGGTTTGACCTCTACTGCTATAAATCTCTGGAATTCTTTTCGTGTGAAATTGTTTAGTTTTTCAAATTTAAACTGCGTTAACTAAATAGACAATTACACAGAAAATATAGGCCTATTTCTTCATATTGTAGGTTTAACTCACAATAAACTTGGTTATTCGGCATATAAAAATAAATCGGGGGTGATTATCCTGGGGTCAATATCAGGCGGTCATGGGTGTAAATTATCTACATATAACGTCCAATCAGAGAATGATTAAAACAACAAACCACAGCTCGATAACATAAAGTAAACTAAAAAAAATAAAATAACTCAGCATCAGGTGTGTCAGAGAAGGGTGGAGTTATTGCCAGAAGTACGGTATCAGAGGAACAGGAACAAGATCAGTTTAGGCCTGTAACCTATCAGGGGAGGTAACTCAATATTTGTTTTTCAGGTTCGGTAACTCTGTGACGATGAGGAGATGGACGTGTGGTTTTGTACTGCTGGTTACTGCTGCACTGGTGCTGGGTCGGGACTTAGAATCGAAGCGAGACAGGCAAGTTTTTACAACACTCAAATCATGATGTATCCTCTAGACTGGAGTCTGTCGTGATCGTTGTTATTAGAGGAAAAAGTTCATTTAAAACACACTTAATTATGGTAATCAAGTCATGGGTGTCTAACATCAATTGATGAATGCATATCCTATTTACATAATCAGTTTTTAACAAAAATTTTTACACCATCAATTCAACTATCTTCAGCGTCAAATTACAAGCAGTGTTTCTTCCAGACTTTTTTCTCCGGGGGTGGCACTTGAAATTTTCGGGGGGGGGGGGGGGGGGGGGGGCGGTAGACTTTCTTCGGGGGGGGGGGCACAGTTAAAAGTATATATTTTCTATATAAATTATATAAATTTCATTTCGTTCGGGGGAGGGGGGGGGCGTAGAATTTTTTCGGGGGGGGGGGCGGCTTTGCTCCCCCCCCCCCCCATCCACCGAAGAGATGCCTGGAAGAAACTCTGATTACAAGACAATAGTTTTAACATCAAAGTTCACCTAATATTTATACTATCAAGTGTCGTTTGACTAATGGAACTGACGTCACAACCATGACGTCATTTTGTTTTCCTTAGCTACCAGGTGCTGCGAGTTCGTCCAAGCTCGGCCGATGACGTCACGTTTCTCCGGGAGTTGCAAAGAAAATACCAGGTATGTGGCGGCCTTGACCCTGACTGACACACTCAAGTCTGGAGTAGATATTGCAGTAGAGACACACAATTTTGTTTAAGTTTATCTGAGTTTCTTTCAGGCATATCTTCGGGGGCGGGGGAAAGGAAGGGAAGAGGAGGTACTCCCCCCCTCCCCCTTTCCCCCACGGGACTCGAGTAATTAATTAGATTGATACCATTCATCCTCTGACATAAGTTTTTAAAAAACCCGACTCTGCTGACTGTGAAACTGCTACATAACCTTTAGTTAAAAATGTCAAACTTTATTATTCACTCAAATATATATATATATATATATATATATATATATATATATATATATATATATATATATATATATATATATATATATATACATACATATATATATATATATATATATATATATGTCTTTGATGATAATTTACTGGTATAACCGACTTTATTGAGTGAAGATAAAAATAATTAATTTCAAAGCACTGTTACATAAAAAAATGTTGTACTCCCCACCCACCATACCAAAATAACACATTAACAGAATGAAAAGCCCCACCCCTCATTCCACCCACCCACACCCCACCGCGTGAGAAAAACCCAAGCTGACCTACTGCTAACACTCAGAAACCTAACACCCCCGTGTTGTGATACGTAGAGTGGTATAGAAGGAATAGATCCCATAAATAACGTATAGGCCATCATATTGTCTCAGCTCTGATAGATTGCCAGTCTGTTTTGTGTGGGTCTGACAACTGTTACATTAAACCTTTCTAAATCTGGCCGTCTATAAACAGACACGTTTACTAGACCAAAGACTACATCAGAAACGGTCTAGATTTTCTTGCGGATTAAGATATTAATGCGCGGCGTTAGAATAACAAATGACACACAAATCCAACGGCTAATCTGGCTCTGGATTAGCAAGCAGACGATTAGGGGAACTCGCGCCATTGTGACAGATACAACATGGCGCACTTCCGTTTTGTATGGCTTCCCTAGCTGCTACGTCATATCCGGGAGAGTTATACGTTAAACCGAACGTTTAAGGATTTACAAAAAGTGGTTTAATCACCTTCCTGGCACGCGATGTCGGTATTTAGATCTGTGACTAGTTATTAATATGACTAGTTCTGTCACTTTGATTGGCCGGTGGGCGGGGCTAGTCATACAATGTTAGAGGTCAGGTCTAGACCAAATGTCGGTGCCCCGCCCCACTCCCCCTATTGTCTAGAACCCAGGGTTAAAGTAAATGTTGGGGATCAGAACTGGTTGGTAAACAATTCTGTCTGGTCACGTGACAACAATTCTGTCTGGTCACGTGACAACAATTCTGTCTAGTCACGTGACAACAGTTCTGTCTGGTCACGTGACAACAATTCTGTCTGGTCACGTGACAACAATTCTGTCTAGTCACGTGACAACAGTTCTGTCTGGTCACGTGACAACAATTCTGTCTGGTCACGTGATGGGCAGCCCTACCCTGGCCAGGAGCATGGAATGAAAAATCAGTTAAAACAACAACTACAATAATAAAATCGTATCTAGCTGTTCATGTTTGGGAGTTTTAGTTGTATCTTTAAAATGTCTAAATTATACATTCACTCTCCCTGTAATAGGGGTTGCATTAATAACGAATGTACGTTTAATCGAAACAAACGGATACGTGAAAAACGTTATCGACATTTCACAAAACGCAACAAGTAAAAAAAAAAAGATTTCCTTCGCCGTGTATTTGATACGATGGTTACAGTATGTGCACTTAAACATTAAATTTTGACCGCTACGGTTATGTAAAAAGTTGACCGTTATGGTTGTGTAAAATGTTGACCGCTACGGTTGTGTAAAATGTTGACCGCTATGGTCGTGTAAAATGTTGACCGCTACAGTTGTGTAAAATGTTGACCGCTATGGTTGTGTAAAATGTTGACCGCTACAGTTGTGTAAAATGTTGACCGCTACGGTTATGTTAAAAGTTGACAGCTATGGTTGTGTAAAATGTTGACCGCTATGGTTGTGTAAAATGTTGACCGCTACGGTTGTGTAAAATGTTGACCGCTACAGTTGTGTAAAATGTTGACCGCTACGGTTGTGTGAAAGGTTGACCACTACAGAAGTGTAACAAGTTGACCACTACAGTTATGTAAAAAGTTGACCACTACAGTTATGTAAAAAGTTGACCACTACAGTTATGTAAAAAGTTGACCACTACAGTTATGTAAAAAGTTGACCACTACAGTTATGTAAAAAGTTGACCACTACAGTTGTGTAAAAAGTTGACAGCTACAGTTGTGTAAAAAGTTGACCGCTACGGTTATGTAAAATGTTGACCGCTACAGTTATGTAAAAAGTTGACCGCTATGGTTATGTAAAAAGTTCACCACTACGGTTATGTAAAAATTTGACCGCTACAGTTGTGTAAAATGTTGACCGCTACAGTTATGTAAAAAGTTGACCACTACGGTTGTATAAAAAGTTGTCTCTCTGTGACGTCACCAGCTGGACGTTTGGAGAATGGCCTCACGTGTCCACCAACTCTCGGACATTCTCGTCTCGCCCCACCTCAAGCACGAGATCAGGCAATTGCTGGACGACTTCAACTTGCCGCATCAGGTCATCATACATGACGTAGAAAGGTCAGTTGGTGAACTTTCAAGGTCAGGGTCAAAGCAGAATAACAGAAAAAAATTAAAAGTGTTTTCCCTTGTCTCCTTCTACTGTATCTCACACCTGGTGGAGTAAGGTGGAGCTTAAGTGGATCATATGGTGGAGCTTATTCTCCACTGGTCTGAGCAAGTTGTCTGATGTTTTAGTCATCCCACATCGTGTCATCTTCACATTTCTCATCGCTACATTCATCGTCTTTAACCTTAGTGGCAACATCGTTTAAAAAATGTCTGTGCAACTGTTGCGGTCACGTGATTACCGTCCCCAGGTTCCTCCAGGTCAACGACCCTTTGGCCAACAGGACAAGAGTGGCCAGGGCCACGTCAAGGGGAGACTACAGGAACAGATACCTGAGTTATACAGAGGTGTGTGGGGGTGGGGGTGGGTGGGTGTGTGGGGGGAACAGATACCTGAGTTATACAGAGGTGTGTGGGGGTGGGTGTGGGGTGGGTGTGTGGGGAGCAGATACCTGAGTTATACAGAGGTGTGTGGGGGTGGGGGAACAGATACCTGAGTTATACAGAGGTGTGTGGTGTGTGGGGGTGGGGGAACAGATACCTGAGTTATACAGAGGTGTGTGGGGGTGGGGGAACAGATACCTGAGTTATACAGAGGTGTGTGGTGTGTGGGGGTGGGGGAACAGATACCTGAGTTATACAGAGGTGTGTGGGGTGGGGGAACAGATACCTGAGTTATACAGAGGTGTGTGGGGGTGGGGGAACAGATACCTGAGTTATACAGAGGTGTGTGGGGGTGGGGGAACAGATACCTGAGTTATACAGAGGTGGGTAGGGGTGGGGGTGGGGGGAACAGATACCTGAGTTATACAGAGGTGTGTGGGGGTGGGGGTGGGGGGAACAAATACATGAGTTATACAGAGGTGTGTGGGGGTGGGGGAACAGGTACCTGAGTTATACAGAGGTGTGTGGGGGTGGGGGTGGGGGGAACAAATACATGAGTTATACAGAGGTGTGTGGGGGTGGGGGAACAGGTACCTGAGTTATACAGAGGTGTGTGGGGGCGGGGGAACAGATAGTTATACATTTGTGGTGTGTGAGTGTGTATGGTTGGGGCGTATGTGGGATATAGAGGTAGTTGTGGTTGTCTTCTATATTTAGCTATCACGTGACTCTAACCATCAGCTCCTGGAGTTCCTGCGAGAAGTGGAACTGACCAGCACCCAGGCTGACGTGGAGGTTGGTTCCATCGGAGACTCGTTTGAGGGCAGGATGACCCCGTACGTCAAGGTAAGGGGGGGGGGGGGGCGTGCTCATAGTATCAGGGTAAACAACCTAGTGAAAATCTTATATTCCTGCTTTTTACTATCGCTTTTGACAATTTTTAAATTAACTATGAAAATAAAAATCTTAAAGAAAGTAAACAACTTCTCGATCATTAAAATATCACGGTCGTTTGTCTATGAGGCAGTGACGTAACAATGTTTGTGACGTCATCAGATCACAGGAAGAAACAACACAGCGGCGAAAGGAACAATTTTTATAGACGCTGGGGTACACAGTAGAGAGTGGATCTCGCCAGCCATGACGGTAGAGATCATTCATAGGGTAGGTCATATACAGGGTAGGTCATCCATAGGGTAGGTCATCCATAGGGTGGGTCATACAGGGTAGGTCATCTACTGGGTAGGTCATCCATAGGGTAGGTCATCTACTGGGTAGGTCATCTACAGGGTAGGTCATATACAGGGTAGGTCATATACAGGGTAGGTCATATACAGGGTAGGTCATATACAGGGTAGGTCATATACAGGGTAGGTCATCCACAGGGTAGGTCATATACAGGGTAGGTCATCTACTGAGTAGGTCATATACAAGGTAGGTCATCTACTGGGTAGGTCATTTACAGGGTAGGTCATATACAAGGTAGGTCATCTACTGGGTAGGTCATATACTGGGTAGGTCACATACAGGTCATCCATAGGGTAGGTCATCAACATTGTGACGATAACAAAATTTGTTGTCTTTTGGTGACGACTGTGACGATAAAAACATTCAGCTGACATTGTGCGTAAAGAAACCAACATTCACCACATGGGCTCGATAAATAAATCGTTTAAACAACAGCATCCTACGATCCCCCCCACCCCATACGACCCCCTCCCCTACGACCCCCCCCCCCCACCACCCCATACACCTACCTTGCACCACCTGCTCATGTTTGATATTTTATGTCGTAGCTCGCCTACAACGTGGAGAACGACAATGCTGTAACTGCCCTGTTAAACCTGTTTGATTGGATCATTGTGCCTCTTGTCAACCCTGATGGCTACGTCTTCACGTTCCAGCCGGGGGTAGGTCACGTGACACTGAACATTTTTTTTTTCTGATTTAAAAAGACTAAAAATGGAAATACTGCTGGTTGCTACATCATCCTAAAAGATCTAGAGAGATTGTAACAAGTCCCATGTTGTTCGTGTAACATGTTCATGCAACAAGTCCCATGTTGCAGATTGAGAACCGACTGTGGAGAAAAAGCCGGTCCACCATGTACTCAGACCTCCCGCGGTGCTATGGTGTGGATCTCAACAGGAACTTTGGCTACGAGTGGAACAATAGTCCCCGTAAGTAGAACAATAGTCCCAGTAAGTAGAACAATAGTCCCCGTAAGTAGAACAATAGTCCCCGTAAGTAGAACAATAGTCCCCGTAAGTAGAACAATAGTCCCCGTAAGTAGAACAATAGTCCCCGTAAGTAGAACAATAGTCCCCGTAAGTAGAACAATAGTCCCCGTAAGTAGAACAATAGTCCCAGTAAGTAGAACAATAGTCCCCGTAAGTAGAACAATAGTCCCCGTAAGTAGAACAATAGTCCCCGTAAGTAGAACAATAGTCCCCGTAAGTAGAACAATAGTCCTCGTAAGTAGAACAATAGTCCACGTAAGTAGAACAATAGTCCACGTAAGTAGAACAATAGTCCCCGTAAGTAGAACAATAGTCCTCGTAAGTAGAACAATAGTCCCCGTAAGTAGAACAATAGTCCTCGTAAGTAGAACATTCAAAAACCAATCAAGCCTTCAATCAGAACAATGTGTGGATTTAAAAAAAAACCTGAAAGTAGATCAATAATCTTCTCCGTATATTTTTTTCTTATGTGTTTACTATTTATTTTTGAAACATAGAATATTACAACATAAAACATTAAAACAGAAAAACAACACAGTACGTAGCCTACATGTTAACTATGACCATCCCAGACTTCGTTACATTTCCTCAACTACTGTCAGACTTTTAAAACACCATTCCCCCACCTACATACACCATTCCCCCACCTACATACACCATTCCCCCACCTACAGACACCATTCCCCCACCTACATACACCATTCCCCCACCTACATACACCATTCCCCCCACCTACATACACCATTCCCCCCACCTACAGACACCATTCCCCCACCTACAGACAACACCATTCCCCCACCTACAGATACCATTCCCCCCACCTACATACACCATTCCCCCCACCTACATACACCATTCCCCCCACCTACAGACACCATTCCCCCACCTACAGACAACACCATTCCCCCACCTACATACACCATTCCCCCCACCTACATACACCATTCCTCCCACCTACATACACCATTCCCCCCACCTACATACACCATTCCCCCCACCTACAGACACCATTCCCCCCACCTACAGACACCATTCCCCCCACCTACAGACACCATTCCCCCACCTACAGACACCATTCCCCCACCTACATACACCATTCCCCCCACCTACAGACAACACCATTCCCCCACCTACATACACCATTCCCCCCACCTACAGACACTATTCCCCCCACCTACATACACCATTCCCCCCACCTACAGACACCATTCCCCCACCTACATACACCATTCCCCCCACCTACATACACCCTTCCCCCTTTGCTCCCAGAATCTGGCGGAAGTGCCGACCCCTGCTCTGGAACTTTCTCCGGACCGCGCAGCTTCTCGGAGCCGGAGAGCCGTAACCTGCAGCAGTTGCTGCTCCGGTACAGAGACAGGATCCAGGGCTACCTGTCCTTCCACAGCTTCGGTCAGTTCTTCCTCTACCCCTGGGGCTACAGCATCGACGCGAGACTCGAGGACGAGCATGATTTGGTGAGTACAAGGGGGATCACTCGGTTTGGTGAGTCTAAGGGGAGTCACTCGGTTTGGTGAGTCTAAGGGGAGTCACTCGTTTGGTGAGTCTAAGGGGAGTCACTCGTTTGGTGAGTCTAAGGGGAGTCACTCGGTTTGGTGAGTCTAAGGGGAGTCACTCGTTTGGTGAGTCTAAGGGGAGTCACTCGTTTGGTGAGTCTAAGGGGAGTCACTCGGTTTGGTGAGTCTAAGGGGAGTCACTTGGTTTGGTGAGTCTAAGGGGAGTCACTCGGTTTGGTGAGTCTAAGGGGAGTCACTCGATTTGGTGAGTCTAAGGGGGGTCACTCGGTTTGGTGAGTCTAAGGGGAGTCACTCGTTTGGTGAGTCTAAGGGAGTCACTTGGTTTGGTGAGTCTAAGGGGAGTCACTCGTTTGATGAGTCTAAGGGGAGTCACTTGGTTTGGTGAGTCTAAGGGGAGTCACTCGTTTGGTGAGTCTAAGGGGAGTCACTCGGTTTGGTGAGTCTAAGGGGAGTCACTCGGTTTGGTGAGTCTAAGGGGAGTCACTCGTTTGGTGAGTCTAAGGGGAGTCACTTGGTTTGGTGAGTCTAAGGGGAGTCACTCGGTTTGGTGAGTCTAAGGGGAGTCACTTGGTTTGGTGAGTCTAAGGGGAGTCACTCGGTTTGGTGAGTACAAGGGGAGTCACTCGGTTTGGTGAGTCTAAGGGGAGTCACTCGTTTGGTGAGTCTAAGGGGAGTCACTCGGTTTGGTGAGTCTAAGGGGAGTCACTCGGTTTGGTGAGTCTAAGGGGAGTCACTCGTTTGGTGAGTCTAAGGGGAGTCACTCGTTTGGTGAGTCTAAGGGGAGTCACTCGGTTTGGTGAGTCTAAGGGGAGTCACTCGATTTGGTGAGTCTAAGGGGAGTCACTAGGTTTGGTGAGTCTAAGGGGAGTCACGCGGTTTGGTGAGTCGAGTCACTCGGTTTGGTGAGTTCATAAAAAAATTAAATACTAGTAGAACAAAGCGTGCTCAGCATGCTGTCGATGTAGAAGTAGATCAAGATGAAACACCGTAATTCGAACGTCTGTTGATTTCATGTTCACTGTTTTTACATCTCTTTTAAAAGTGATGTGTTAGATTGTCATTGGTCTGCTGTGTGTCCCCAGTTTTGATTGGTCAGTTCTGTGTCCTCAGTTTTGATTGGTCAGTTCTGTGTCCTCAGTTTTGATTGGTCAGTTCTGTGTCCCCAGTTTTGATTGGTCAGTTCTGTGTCCCCAGTTTTGATTGGTCAGTTCTGTGTCCCCAGTTTTGATTGGTCAGTTCTCTGTCCCATGTTTTGATTGGTCAGTTGTGTGTCCCCAGTTTTGATTGGTCAGTTCTGTGTCCCCAGTTTTGATTGGTCAGTTGTGTGTCCCCAGTTTTGATTGGTCAGTTGTGTGTCCCCAGTTTTGATTGGTCAGTTCTGTGTCCCCAGTATTGATTGGTCAGTTCTGTGTCCCCAGTTTTGATTGGTCAGTTCTGTGTCCCCAGTTTTGATTGGTCAGTTCTGTGTCCCCAGTATCAGGTGGCGCTGGCGTTTGCTGATACGATGAAGGCGAGGAACTACCAGTACAACATCGGGGGTTCTGCCAAGGTTCTGTGTAAGTAGGGGGTTCGGCCAAGGTTCTGTGTAAGTAGGGGGTTCTGCCAAGGTTCTGTGTAAGTAGGGGGTTCGGCCAAGGTTCTGTGTAAGTAGGGGGTTCGGCCAAGGTTCTGTGTAAGTAGGGGGTTCTGCCAAGGTTCTGTGTAAGTAGGGGGTTCTGCCAAGGTTCTGTGTAAGTAGGGGGTTCGGCCAAGGTTCTGTGTAAGTAGGGGGTTCTGCCAAGGTTCTGTGTAAGTAGGGGGTTCGGCCAAGGTTCTGTGTAAGTAGGGGGAGGTGCGGTTGATGTATGCCAGTGTTACATGGTAATGTTGTAGAATAGTGATGGTGTATGTTGATCAGGGTGGTTTAAGTAACAGCAGTACCAATGCTGCGACCTCACCAAATTCGTCACCACACAATAACACTTTTTAAACAGTTTTCTATTTCCAATACTTCCTTTATTATTGATTTTTAATCAAACTTGGAAAATAAAAAGTTATATTAAAAATCTTCATTAAAATTGTAAATACAAGTTTGATTAAAAGTGTATTTAAAATTTAGATTAAACTGTAAAAAAATATTTGATTTTCAGATCCCGCGGCCGGCGGCTCAGATGATTATGTGCGGGGCAGCGTGGGGGTCAAGTACTCCTACACGGTGGAACTTCCGCCCCATGAGTCATCCAAATATGGCTTCCTTCTGCCCGAGTCTGACGTCATGTCTGTCGTGTCGGACACGTGGGTCGGCCTAAAGGCCTTCATGCTTCACCTCAGTCGGTACACGGAACCTGTTCCTGCAAGTTCTAGAACCTTCCAGTCACCTCTCACCGACACGTCACCCCCACAGAGAGCCACGAGTGACAAAATGTTGACCAAAACTGGACAATTTCGGCAAAATTTCCAGAGACCGGAATTTTTCCGGACGTACATCAGCGACGAAAACCGGAGGAAGCGACAAGACGGTCAGCCGGCCAAGTCACGTGGCTTCTATACCTTCAGGGCGTTCGCCACCAAGTCACGTGATCGAGATAACGGTACCAGCCTAGCCAGACTCAAACGGCACAAACCCTACACAAAACTTGACACAAAACCCTACACAAAACTTGACACAAAACTTGACGCAAAACTTGACAGTGGAACCAGCCAAGCGAGATGGACAAAACGACAAAAACCCGACAGAAAAGATAAATTAGAACAAAAATATAGGCCTGGGTATCTAGGAAAATAGAATTGTTACCAAATTTTCATTGTTTATTTTTTCTTGTTGAAAAAAAAATTAATTTTAAGATATCGTGCCTGATAGATAAAGAGATACAAGATACCCAGATAGATGAAGAGATACAAGACACCCTCCCAGATAGACGAAGGCCTACAACCCCCACTCCCTCCATATTGTGCAATACTTTTGTTTGCCAGATTTTAAGTACCATGACGTCACGTCGAAAGATTTAATTTGCTCCACACGTATCAGAACGTGTTTACAACGTTCAGCCCCAGACTATTTTCAATGCTAGATATTATTTCAAAGTCAAAGAAATCCTGTTTGGTAACTCAATTTCGACAATAATGGTCAGTATAGAGTTTTTGTGAAAATGTCAAAAATAGTTTTCATCAACATTTGTGAAATTAAAAAGCAGAATTAAATGGAATTATTGAATTTTTTTCGGTTGTCAATTTAATATTTTATATATGTATGTTATACTCGTTAAAAGTAATACCAGTGTTTAAGGGTCAGTTTATAATTTGGCTAGTGGAATAACCTACAGCTTTACCAATGTGGTTTAGTCATTGGTTTATGGCCAATTTATATTCATTTTATTCTGGAATATATTTGCTGTATCATTGAATTATATTTCCAACTGTTCACTTAAACCTTGGGCTCATCCTATTGTGACGGCCATCAAAATTATATTTCCAACTGTTCAGTTATACCATGGGCTCATCCTATTGTGACAGCCATCAAAATTATATTTCCAACTGTTCACTTATACCTTGGGCTCATACTATTGTGACGGCCATCAAAATTATATTTCCAACTGTTCAGTTATACCTTGGGCTCATACTATTGTGACAGCCATCAAAAACAGAAGTCAAGGACTCCCACCCCCCTCCCCACAATGTGGATAACAACATATATTTCCACAATATGCTCCAACATAACCTATAACTACATGTATTGCGTTTACAATATTTAAATCTCTATAGTGATTAATTCATTCTTTTTGGAGTTATTTAATTTTAAAATGTGTTCAGTAATAGGCCTATACAATTATTTTTTGAAAGCATGAGTTCATGATAAGTATTTTGGTGCTATTTTAACATTACATTGTAGTCTTGTATTTATCAAAAACAGATGCAAGGTATTTAACTTTTTTTTAATATGGAAAGAAAATTTTGAAAATATTTTCTATAGGGTAAGTAGTAATATATTGTCATAGGCCAGGAATGACCTCAATTTCAGTTTCATTTATCCCAAGCCGCAGAAGTATAAACTTTGTCAATGTCAACAGTCACATTTAATTAACTGATTTAATTAGAATCATCCAACACCAAGGCTAAATGAGGCAGGTATAGAATATTTTATTAGATGTTAAGCAATGTAAAGTTATCACTGACAAACCAACCAATAACAAAATTTACTATTGGTCATAAAAAATAAATTTAAAAAGTTGGACAACCTGTCAAAAACAACAGCACAAAACAAAAGCTTAATGTTAGTGAGAAACATCTCTAGCGGTCAATTTTTTAAAAAGTCTCATCAACAAAGTCTGGTTTGCTCTTCATTTTCTGCCAAGACATTTGTCAAACATTTTCCAGCTGGTAATTCCAAATGATAGATGGAGATTCGATAATTTCTCAAAACAAATGACTTTTATAAACTAAGATAATTGTTGATATTTTTTAAAAGTAAAACCCTCAGTGCTGGTACACTTACAAGTTGAACAATTCAAGATCTCTCAGGTTTCAACACCCCATCACATTGGATGACATGGAGACTTGAATCACATCTACAAATCTAACACTAGTACAATCGATAGCAGGAGACATGGTTAGTCCATTATTAAATCTAGCAAAATAAATCTTTGTATTGTCATCACAAATACTGGTAGCATACAACAGTGGTAAATAAATAACATGAAATATTTAAACAAACATACATGCTGAGGTCAAGTTGACAACACAGCCATACACGCTGAGGTCAAGATGACCACACAGCCATACATGCTGAGGTCAAGATAGACATGGGCAAGTACTGACAATATTTGACAGAGTTGCATAGGGCAGTTGGTGACTAAATGGGATCATACAAGTGGGGATATCACACAAGTCACCATCTAATGGTGATACATGGGAAATCTACAACTGGTGACATCATTCAGGCCACCATCTAATGGTGACATTAAACTGTGACTAAAGTCACCATCTAGTGATGAGATCTACTACATGGGTGTCTTACTAGTGATGGTATCACACAAGCTGAACAACCATCACATGGCAATAGTGATATCTACGTATAGTGACAGCACCCAGATGTCCCTATAATAATAGCATCTAATACACGTTGAATTTACAGGTGGTGACATCACTCAAGTCACCTTTAAATGACGACATACGTCTCATCTAGTGGTGTCATCTCTCATGTAACATAAAATATTAATTCACCAAAAGAGAGTCAACTAATCCACTCTATCATTAAACCCGAACCTTCAAGTTCTAGTGTACATTCTATTTAAAAACATAGCAAACACCTTGGGACAGATTGATACAGTTTTGTGCAGTTAAAAATAGTCTAAAGAAATTGTATAAAAATAATAAATTAAAAGGTTAAAAATAAATAAATGTAAAAAAAAAAAAAAGTTGAACAGGATGCTCTGCTGAGTGAGAACATGAAACAAATTATAAATAACAAAAGCACCATTGTGTTGGAACTCTCTAAACTAAATGCTACAAATTATAAATAACAAAAGCACCATTGTGTTGGAACTCTCTAAACTAAATGCTACAAATGCCAAACTGGGACATTCTCTTGACTAGGTCACCTAACAGAATTATGGGATATGTGCTAGAACAATGGTTTCAAAAGGGAAGCTACTGCTGTTAGCAAGATGATCATAAATTATTAAATGAAAAAAAGTGCTGAAAATTATTAAATTAAACAATAGTGCTAAAAGAACGAAGATACATATTTATGCGAAACAATTTTTAACAGAGTTAATGCACCTGTGCTTAAGGTCAAGGTGAAAAGGTTACGTATTACCAGATACCCAAGTTGATTAAGCAAATATACCAGGACAAAAACACTTTTTCTCAGACAAAACCACTTTTTCATGTTCTAATAAGGTAGGTTATAATAAATATTCTTAATAAATCCAAAGACAAAAGCATATTTATATGTATATATGTTAAATATTTGATAGAGGTACAAAGTTTTGATAAAACTGACACCAGCAATGAGTATTGATAAATGTTAAACTTGATAGACTTATTTTAAAAATACTTAGATATAAATAAATCCATTTGCATCAGTCTTTAGGATCAACAACATATTAATACATGATTTAAGTAAGAATTATAATCTACAACAATACAATACTGGTAGACCAAATAAACATGTTGTCTTTGGGGTCAATTTAGTAGTAGATGGAGAATTCTACTTCAGGTACAAGGAAGGCATTTCCAGGTAAGGCAGTACCTATAAGTAATGTCTAAGTGGGAGTGGGGAGGTAGTCTAGTGTATGGGGAGTGGGGAGGTAGTCTAGTGTAAGGGGAGTGGGGAGGTAGTCTAGTGTATGGGTAGTGGGGAGGCAGTCTAGCGTATGAGGAGTGGGGAGGTAGTCTTGTGTATGGGGAGTGGGGAGGTAGTCTAGTGTATGAGGAGTGGGGAGGTAGTCTAGTGTATGGGGAGTGGGGAGGTAGTCTAGTGTATGGGGAGTGGGGAGATTGTCTAGTGTATGGGGAGTGGGGAGGTAGTCTAGTGTATGGGGAGTGGGGAGATTGTCTAGTGTATGGGGAGTGTATGGTAGTTTTTGGAAAGAAGGGGAATAAAAGTTTAGTCTGTGGACACAGCATGGATGTTTAAGGTAAATAAAAGACCTGTGGCAGTATTGCTAGAAGCAGCTAAAGAGAACAATTTTTTTCTCTAGCCAACAAAGCTATTCAATCACAGTACAAGTACTAGCTAAATCAGCAGCTGAAAACAGATTGATCATTATGATTGTTATAATCATGATTGTTATAATAATAATCATGATTGGTATAAAACATAGTATAATCACAAATGGTGAGATCTTTTACACAAAAAACAATTCATGGGATAAGAAAATTATTGTCTAAAATCAAGCTTTTCTTATTGGTAAAACTAAAATTTAAAAAATTATTTTAGTTTTTGAAGGGTCAAGGAAATAAATCTATTGTATTAGTTAGTGAGGGGTTGTAGAACTTGGCACTTCACTGAAATTATTGTGCTTTGTAACTGTAAAACTTTCACTAGTTGGTTTGACTGAGCTGGTACTATGAAAATAAATAAATGCATATATAAACTGTCATGGTTACTTCAATGGCAAAGTTTGTTAAATTGACAAGGGTAAAAGTAAACTTGTCCTAAATAACAGGCCAGTGAGTGATCAAATCTGGTTGGTTAAACATTTCTAATACAATAATCCTAGATGTCATCATCACCTACATTATAGATTTACTGTCCATTTCTTCAGTTGCTGTTAGATGTTAATGGAAGTCTTGACCATTCCAGTGCAACCCTAAACTACAGTGCTGTCCCCCAGTACAACCCTAAACTACAGTGCTGTCCCCCAGTACAACCCTAAACTACAGTGCTGCTGTCCCCCAGTACAACCCTAAACTACAGTGCTGCTGTCCCCCAGTGCAACCCTAAACTACAGTGCTGCTGTCCCCCAGTACAACCCTAAACTACAGTGCTGTCCCCCAGTACAACCCTAAACTACAGTGCTGCTGTCCCCCAGTGCAACCCTAAACTACAGTGCTGCTGTCCCCCAGTACAACCCTAAACTACAGTGCTGCTGTCCCCCAGTACAACCCTAAACTACAGTGCTGTCCCCCAGTACAACCCTAAACTACAGTGCTGCTGTCCCCCAGTACAACCCTAAACTACAGTGCTGCTGTCCCCCAGTGCAACCCTAAACTACAGTGCTGCTGTCCCCCAGTACAACCCTAAACTACAGTGCTGCTGTCCCCCAGTACAACCCTAAACTACAGTGCTGCTGTCCCCCAGTACAACCCTAAACTACAGTGCTGCTGTCCCCCAGTACAACCCTAAACTACAGTGCTGCTGTCCCCCAGTACAACCCTAAACTACAGTGCTGTCCCCCAGTACAACCCTAAACTACAGTGCTGCTGTCCCCCAGTACAACCCTAAACTACAGTGCTGTCCCCCAGTACAACCCTAAACTACAGTGCTGCTGTCCCCCAGTACAACCCTAAACTACAGTGCTGCTGTCCCCCAGTACAACCCTAAACTACAGTGCTGCTGTCCCCCAGTACAACCCTAAACTACAGTGCTGTCCCCCAGTACAACCCTAAACTACAGTGCTGCTGTCCCCCAGTACAACCCTAAACTACAGTGCTGTCCCCCAGTACAACCCTAAACTACAGTGCTGCTGTCCCCCAGTACAACCCTAAACTACAGTGCTGCTGTCCCCCAGTACAACCCTAAACTACAGTGCTGCTGTCCCCCAGTACAACCCTAAACTACAGTGCTGTCCCCCAGTACAACCCTAAACTACAGTGCTGCTGTCCCCCAGTGCAACCCTAAACTACAGTGCTGCTGTCCCCCAGTACAACCCTAAACTACAGTGCTGTCCCCCAGTACAACCCTAAACTACAGTGCTGTCCCCCAGTACAACCCTAAACTACAGTGCTGTCCCCCAGTACAACCCTAAACTACAGTGCTGTCCCCCAGTACAACCCTAAACTACAGTGCTGTCCCCCAGTACAACCCTAAACTACAGTGCTGCTGTCCCCCAGTACAACCCTAAACTACAGTGCTGTCCCCCAGTACAACCCTAAACTACAGTGCTGTCCCCCAGTACAACCCTAAACTACAGTGCTGTCCCCCAGTGCAACCCTAAACTACAGTGCTGCTGTCCCCCAGTGCAACCCTAAACTACAGTGCTGCTGTCCCCCAGTACAACCCTAAACTTCAGTGCTGCTGTCCCCCAGTGCAACCCTAAACTACAGTGCTGTCCCCCAGTACAACCCTAAACTACAGTGCTGCTGTCCCCCAGTGCAACCCTAAACTACAGTGCTGCTGTCCCCCAGTGCAACCCTAAACTACAGTGCTGCTGTCCCCCAGTGCAACCCTAAACTACAGTGCTGCTGTCCCCCAGTGCAACCCTAAACTACAGTGCTGCTGTCCCCCAGTGCAACCCTAAACTACAGTGCTGCTGTCCCCCAGTGCAACCCTAAACTACAGTGCTGCTGTCCCCCAGTACAACCCTAAACTACAGTGCTGCTGTCCCCCAGTGCAACCCTAAACTACAGTGCTGCTGTCCCCCAGTGCAACCCTAAACTACAGTGCTGCTGTCCCCCAGTACAACCCTAAACTACAGTGCTGTCCCCCAGTACAACCCTAAACTACAGTGCTGTCCCCCAGTACAACCCTAAACTACAGTGCTGTCCCCCAGTACAACCCTAAACTACAGTGCTGCTGTCCCCCAGTGCAACCCTAAACTACAGTGCTGCTGTCCCCCAGTACAACCCTAAACTACAGTGCTGTCCCCCAGTACAACCCTAAACTACAGTGCTGCTGTCCCCCAGTACAACCCTAAACTACAGTGCTGTCCCCCAGTACAACCCTAAACTACAGTGCTGTCCCCCAGTACAACCCTAAACTACAGTGCTGCTGTCCCCCAGTGCAACCCTAAACTACAGTGCTGTCCCCCAGTACAACACTAAACTACAGTGCTGTCCCCCAGTACAACCCTAAACTACAGTGCTGCTGTCCCCCAGTACAACCCTAAACTACAGTGCTGTCCCCCAGTACAACCCTAAACTACAGTGCTGCTGTCCCCCAGTGCAACCCTAAACTACAGTGCTGCTGTCCCCCAGTACAACCCTAAACTACAGTGCTGTCCCCCAGTACAACCCTAAACTACAGTGCTGTCCCCCAGTACAACCCTAAACTACAGTGCTGTCCCCCAGTACAACCCTAAACTACAGTGCTGTCCCCCAGTACAACCCTAAACTACAGTGCCACTGTCCCCCAGTACAACCCTAAACTACAGTGCTGCTGTCCCCCAGTGCAACCCTAAACTACAGTGCTGCTGTCCCCCAGTACAACACTAAACTACAGTGCTGTCCCCCAGTACAACCCTAAACTACAGTGCTGCTGTCCCCCAGTGCAACCCTAAACTACAGTGCTGCTGTCCCCCAGTACAACCCTAAACTACAGTGCTGTCCCCCAGTACAACCCTAAACTACAGTGCTGTCCCCCAGTACAACCCTAAACTACAGTGCTGTCCCCCAGTACAACCCTAAACTACAGTGCTGTCCCCCAGTACAACCCTAAACTACAGTGCCACTGTCCCCCAGTACAACCCTAAACTACAGTGCCGCTGTCACTTTGAGGGAAGTTGAGGTCAACTTTGGGGGTGAAAGATTCCTCTGTATTGTCCTCTGTATTGTCCTCTGTATTGTCCTCCTCGTCAGATGGGGGCTGGAGGTGTGCGGTGTGGGGGGAGCCGTGGGCACGCTTGTTGAGGATTTGCTCTATCAGCATCTTGCGCTTGCTAGCTGCCTCAGTCTGTCTCTGTGGACAGAAGGTGGTCATTTAGGCTGATCAGTGGGGGTCCAGTTGTAAGCATGGACTGTCTTAAGGTGGGTCTCTCATAGGGTTGGTCTGTATGGTTGGTCTATCATAGGGTTATTCTGTATGGTTGGTCTGTATGGTTGGTCTGTGGTAAGCATGCACTGTCTTAAGGTTGGTCTCATAGGGTTGTCTGTCATAGGGTTGGTCTGTACGGTTGGTCTATCATAGGGTTGGTCTATCATAGGGTTGGTCTGTACGGTTGGTCTATCATAGGGTTGGTCTGTCAAAGGGTTGGTCTATCATAGGGTTGGTCTATCATAGGGTTGGTCAATCATAGGGTTGGTCTGTACGGTTGGTCTATCATAGGGTTGGTCTATCATAGGGTTGGTCTATCATAGGGTTGGTCTGTCATAGGGTTGGTCTGTCAAAGGGTTGGTCTATCATAGGGTTGGTCAATCATAGGGTTGGTCTGTACGGCTGGTCTATCATAGGGTTGGTCTGTCAAAGGGTTGGTCTATCATAGGGTTGGTCTATCATAGGGTTGGTCTATCATAGGGTTGGTCTATCATAGGGTTGGTCTGTCATAGGGTTGGTCTGTACGGTTGGTCTATCATAGGGTTGGTCTGTCAAAGGGTTGGTCTATCATAGGGTTGGTCAATCATAGGGTTGGTCTGTACGGTTGGTCTATCATAGGGTTGGTCTATCATAGGGTTGGTCTATCATAGGGTTGGTCTATCATAGGGTTGGTCTGTCATAGGGTTGGTCTGTCAAAGGGTTGGTCTATCATAGGGTTGGTCAATCATAGGGTTGGTCTGTACGGCTGGTCTATCATAGGGTTGGTCTGTCAAAGGGTTGGTCTATCATAGGGTTGGTCTATCATAGGGTTGGTCTATCATAGGGTTGGTCTATCATAGGGTTGGTCTGTCATAGGGTTGGTCTGTACAGTTGGTCTATCATAGGGTTGGTCTGTCATAGGGTTGGTCTATCATAGGGTTGGTCTGTACGGTTGGTCTATCATAGGGTTGGTCTATCATAGGGTTGGTCTGTACGGTTGGTCTATCATAGGGTTGGTCTGTCAAAGGGTTGGTCTATCATAGGGTTGGTCTATCATAGGGTTGGTCAATCATAGGGTTGGTCTGTACGGTTGGTCTATCATAGGGTTGGTCTATCATAGGGTTGGTCTATCATAGGGTTGGTCTGTCATAGGGTTGGTCTGTCAAAGGGTTGGTCTATCATAGGGTTGGTCAATCATAGGGTTGGTCTGTACGGCTGGTCTATCATAGGGTTGGTCTGTCAAAGGGTTGGTCTATCATAGGGTTGGTCTATCATAGGGTTGGTCTATCATAGGGTTGGTCTATCATAGGGTTGGTCTGTCATAGGGTTGGTCTGTACGGTTGGTCTATCATAGGGTTGGTCTGTCAAAGGGTTGGTCTATCATAGGGTTGGTCAATCATAGGGTTGGTCTGTACGGTTGGTCTATCATAGGGTTGGTCTATCATAGGGTTGGTCTATCATAGGGTTGGTCTATCATAGGGTTGGTCTGTCATAGGGTTGGTCTGTCAAAGGGTTGGTCTATCATAGGGTTGGTCAATCATAGGGTTGGTCTGTACGGCTGGTCTATCATAGGGTTGGTCTGTCAAAGGGTTGGTCTATCATAGGGTTGGTCTATCATAGGGTTGGTCTATCATAGGGTTGGTCTATCATAGGGTTGGTCTGTCATAGGGTTGGTCTGTACAGTTGGTCTATCATAGGGTTGGTCTGTCATAGGGTTGGTCTATCATAGGGTTGGTCTATCATAGGGTTGGTCTATCATAGGGTTGGTCTATCATAGGGTTGGTCTATCATAGGGTTGGTCTATCATAGGGTTGGTCTATCATAGGGTTGGTCTGTCATAGGGTTGGTCTGTACGGTTGGTCTATCATAGGGTTGGTCTATCATAGGGTTGGTCTATCATAGGGTTGGTCTATCATAGGGCTGGTCTGTCATGGGGTTGGTCTATCATAGGGTTGGCCTATCATAGGGTTGGTCTGTCATAGGGTTGGCCTATCATAGGGTTAGTCTATCATAGGGTTTGTCATAGGGTTGGCCTATCATAGGGTTGGTCTATCATAGGGTTGGCCTATCATAGGATTGGTCTGTCATATAGCTAAAGATGATCTATCAAATGGTTTACATTGACCAATACACAGTTTGAACATCTGAATGTTTATCCATCAAGCAGAGTTGCTATAACCAGCTGTCACTCTATGATAAAGAACAAAATCTAGTTGCATTATATCCTTGTCTAGTTTTCATTATAATTTTAAAATGATGTTTAAGTTTTTCTTTTTTTATTTAACAATTACAAGCAACTTATGACTTTAAAAAAAACTATTAACTTAAAAATAAATAAATGATAGAGTTAGATGTGTAAATTTAGTTACAATATGATACTATCATAACTCTGGTACACTTTTATTGTAGTTGTGTCCCTTGACCAGCAAATTAAAAAAAATCTTGTGCATGAGTTAAACATGTAAATAAAAAGAGTGGCATAAACTGGAGTTAGCCCCCTCCCCCTTTCCCACACACACACGGTGTCACACATTAAGGCAGTAGATTTGTGTCACTTTTAAACCAACAATTTGACAATATTAAAATCAGCATGGAAAATGGAGAAAAATATGTGTGCATAAGTGTATATATATATATATATATATATATATATATATATATATATATATATATATATATATATATATATATATATATATATATATATATATACATATGGGAAAATATATTTTAAAAAGCCACCTCCATCCCCCCCCTCCCCCCACAGCAAAAGCCTACATACGCCACTGCTTACAACAGAATATAATGATTACAGATGTGTAAAGGAAAAAAAATGAAACAAATAGGAGTAGATTTTTACTTGAAGTTGGAAAAACCTTTTTCAATATGCATTAAAGCATCCCACTTTTATTTTAACTATTTAATTTTTTGGTTATACTGCATGTAATATGAAAACTTGTATTGTTATTTTTTCATAAGAAAACCACAAGGCTAATCAAAATGACTAGTGTGACACTGTTAATACTTCATAAATGTATCTTAAATTACTGTTGCAAAATGAATAGTACATCTACTTGTGTCACGGTGCATATCACAGTCTAGAGAATTGGAAGAACATTGGTCACAGTCTAGAGAATTGGAAGAACATTGGTCACAGTCTAGAGAATTGGAAGAACATTGGTCACAGTCTAGAGAATTGGAAGAACATTGGTCACAGTCTGGAGAATTGGAAGAACATTGGTCACAGTCTAGAGAATTGGAAGAACATTGGTCACAGTCTAGAGAATTGGAAGAACATTGGTCACAGTCTAGAGAATTGGAAGAACATTGGTCACAGTCTAGAGAATTGGAAGAACATTGGTCACAGTCTAGAGAATAGGAAGAACATTGGTCACAGTCTAGAGAATTGGAAGAACATTGGTCACAGTCTAGAGAATTGGAAGAACATTGGTCACAGTCTAGAGAATTGGAAGAACATTGGTCACAGTCTAGAGAATTGGAAGAACATTGGTCACAGTCTAGAGAATTGGAAGAACATTGGTCACAGTTTCCACCTAAAAGTGACTGACGAAGCATCAAGCAAGCACTAACAAGGACTTTAAACAGTAGGTTTAACAGTCATGTCTGGGTCTTTAAACCTTCTAGTAACAAATCTATCATGAACCACAAAGTGGGAATTAAATAAACTAAGCTGGACTGAGCAAGCAGAACTTTAACAAAGCAATCAAGATTTAAACAAATTAAACAAGAGCTAAATAAGGCAAAGCAATCAAGATTTAAACAAATTAAACAAGAGCTAAATAAGGCAAAGCAATCTTTGTGTAGCATCATCCACATTTTTAAAAAAAAGTATTTAGACTTTGTGTGACTTCAATAGTTATCAAACTTATCCTAATGATATTTCTGTAACAATCCAAAATATTAAAAATGTGGTAGGATGCAAGTTGCATTTGATGTGTTAAACAGTGCAAGCCCACACACCAAGCCCACACACCAAGCCCACACACCAACAAGCCCACATGCAGACTACAAGGAAAGTAGGTGAAAAAAACATGTGTAAAGTGAGTGAATGAAAAAAAAAGAATCTACCATCAAGAGTCTAAAGTTATTGGCCATGTTTGCTTTATATCTCTGAGAAAACAAGCAAAACATAAGGGAAGGGAGGTAAGTGACAAGTAGGTGGGATCATTCATTAGAGGAAGCAAAACATTAGGGAAGGGAGGTAAGTCACAAGTAAGGTGGGCTCATTCATTAGAGGAAGCAAAACATGAAATAGAAACAAAGCAGTTAGGGAATAATTAAAGAAGTTTTAAGTAAACAAAAAACTGAATGAATGAATAAAGAGATTGTTGAATGAGCAGGTATTGTGGGCTATGAGTGTATGAACTAACGAACAAACAAACAAACGAACCAACAAACAAACAAATGAATGATTATGTTTCCTTCTAGTAATGTTGATGGCCAGTATCACCAGCAGATCACTGGGTTAGGGAGAAAGATTACTAGGAGAAATGGAAATGGAAGCCGTTTCTTAAATAATTGAAAAAATAAGATGACATCACAGGTATGGTGCTTCGCTGGATGCCTCAAGAAAACCAAAACCAGGGCAGGTCAAGAGAGATGTGGAGATACAGCAGACAAAAGCGACTGAGAAACGCAGGACTATCTTGGGGGATTGCTGAGAAAATTGCCAGAGACCAACAAAAGTAGAAAGAGCTTTCTGAAGCGGTCTTATGTGTCTTGGTCACAAAAGGAAAAAGATTAAGATGATAATTTATGACGCTGACAGGCTTGTCTAAAATTAGTCTAAAACTCACCTCAGGCTAGGTAACAACCATGACACAGTTAGGGGACTGAAATTAGGGGACTGAAGTAGAACACATTCATGTCAGTACACATTTTGTTAAAGGGAATTAATTTGTTAATGTTATTGAAAGAGACGACCTGAAGAAACAGACAGTGACTGTTCTACCAGACCAGGGTAAGAAACAAGCGTCCAACCTTATTCTTGAGTGCCATCTTGGCAGCGTGCTCCTGCTGGGCTATCTTCAGACTGATCCACTTGGGCATGTCTGGAATCATGAAGGCTAGGCTGGCCTTGATGGCAAACACCATGTGCTGCGGAGGGCAAGAGGACATGTCTGTGTAACCACACCACTGACCACACCACTGACCACAGCACTGACCACACCACTAACCACACCACTGACCACACCACTGACCACACCACTAACCAACCACTTACCACACCACTGACCACATCACTGACCACACCACTGACCACACCACATGATTAACACCACTGACCACACAAACAAATTGACAAGCCCACTGACCAGACCAAATTGACCCCAAACAACTGGACAAGCCCACTGACCAGACCAAATTGACCCCAAACAACTGGACAAGCCCACTGACCAGACCAAATTGACCCCAAACAACTGGACAAGCCCACTGACCAGACCAAACAACTGGACAAGCCCACTGACCAGACCAAGTTGACCCCAAACAACTTGACAAGCCCACTGACCAGACCAAATTGACCCCAAACAACTGGACAAGCCCACTGACCAGACCAAGTTGACCCAAACAACTGGCCAAGCCCACTGACCAGACCAAGTTGACCCCAAACAACTGGACAAGCCCACTGACCAGACCAAATTGACGAGCCCACTGACCAGACCAAGTTGACCCCAAACAAATGGACGAGCCCACTGACCAGACCAAATTGACCCCAAACAAATGGTCGAGCCCACTGACCAGACCAAATTGACAAGCCCACTGACCAGACCAAGTTGACCCCAAACAACTGGACAAGCCCACTGACCAGACCAAATTGACCCCAAACAACTGGACAAGCCCACTGACCAGACCAAACAACTGGACAAGCCCACTGACCAGACCAAACAACTGGACAAGCCCACTGACCAGACCAAATTGACAAGCCCACTGACCAGACCAAGTTGACCCCAAACAACTGGACAAGCCCACTGACCAGACCAAACAACTGGACAAGCCCACTGACCAGACCAAGTTGACCCCAAACAACTTGACAAGCCCACTGACCAGACCAAATTGACCCCAAACAACTGGACAAGCCCACTGACCAGACCAAGTTGACCCCAAACAACTGGACAAGCCCACTGACCAGACCAAGTTGACCCCAAACAACTGGACAAGCCCACTGACCAGACCAAGTTGACCCCAAACAACTGGACAAGCCCACTGACCAGACCAAGTTGACCCAAACAACTGGCCAAGCCCACTGACCAGACCAAGTTGACCCCAAACAACTGGACAAGCCAACTGACCAGACCAAATTGACGAGCCCACTGACCAGACCAAGTTGACCCCAAACAAATGGACGAGCCCACTGACCAGACCAAATTGACCCCAAACAAATGGTCGAGCCCACTGACCAGACCAAATTGACAAGCCCACTGACCAGACCAAGTTGACCCCAAACAACTGGACAAGCCCACTGACCAGACCAAATTGACCCCAAACAACTGGACAAGCCCACTGACCAGACCAAACAACTGGACAAGCCCACTGACCAGACCAAACAACTGGACAAGCCCACTGACCAGACCAAATTGACAAGCCCACTGACCAGACCAAGTTGACCCCAAACAACTTGACAAGCCCACTGACCAGACCAAATTGACCCCAAACAACTGGACAAGCCCACTGACCAGACCAAGTTGACCCCAAACAACTGGACAAGCCCACTGACCAGACCAAGTTGACCCCAAACAACTTGACAAGCCCACTGACCAGACCAAATTGACCCCAAACAACTGGACAAGCCCACTGACCAGACCAAGTTGACCCCAAACAACTGGACAAGCCCACTGACCAGACCAAGTTGACCCCAAACAACTGGACAAGCCCACTGACCAGACCAAGTTGACCCCAAACAACTGGACAAGCCCACTGACCAGACCAAGTTGACCCCAAACAACTGGACAAGCCCACTGACCAGACCAAATTGACCCCAAACAACTGGACAAGCCCACTGACCAGACCAAATTGACCCCAAACAACTGGACAAGCCCACTGACCAGACCAAATTGACCCCAAACAACTGGACAAGCCCACTGACCAGACCAAATTGACCCCAAACAACTGGACAAGCCCACTGACCAGACCAAATTGACCCCAAACAACTGGACAAGCCCACTGACCAGACCAAACTGACCCAAACAACTGGACAAGCCCACTGACCAGACCAAACAACTTGACAAGCCCACTGACCAGACCAAACAACTTGACAAGCCCACTAACCTCTGCAGCTACAAAGAGCAGAACCATGTTGACGGGTGAAATGTTGGAGGGCAGAAGCTTCTGGATCTCTGGGTCCATGCCTATCAGCGCACAGTTGGTGATCACAGAGATCAGGCCAATCACCTCAAAGGCTGGCTGGTGACACAAGCATACTAAAGGTGACACAAGCATACTATAGGTGACACAAACATACTATAGGTGATACAACAACACAATTAGTGACCCAATAACACAAGTTCATGCCCCCCCCACTACTTGCCAGGTGTACCAAGCCCCACACTACCTGCCAGGTGTACCAAGCCCCACACTACCTGCCAGGTGTACCAAGCCCACACTACTTTCCAGGTGTATCAAGCCCCACACTACCTGCCAGGTGTACCAAGCCCCACACTATCTACTAGGTGTACCAAGCCCCCACACTATCTACCAGGTGTACCAAGCCCCACACTACCTGCCCGGTGTACCAAGCCCCACACTACTTTCTAGGTGTACAAAGCCCACACTACCTGCCAGGTGTACCAAGCCCACACTACCTGCCAGGTGTACCAAGCCCACACTACCTGCTAAGTGTACCAAGCCCACACTACTTTCCAGGTGTACCAAGCCCACACTACCTGCCAGGTGTACCAAGCCCCACACTATCTACTAGGTGTACCAAGCCCCCACACTATCTGCCATGTGTACCAAGCCCCCACACTACCTGCCATGTGTACCAAGCCCCACACTACCTGCCAGGTGTATCAAGCCCCACACTACCTGCCAGGTGTACCAAGCCCCACACTACCTGCCAGGTGTACCAAGCCCCCACACTACCTGCCAGATGTACAAAGCCCACACTATCTACCAGGTGTACCAAGCCCACACTACCTGCCAGGTGTACCAAGCCCCACACTATCTACCAGGTGTACCAAGCCCACACTACCTGCCAGGTGTACCAAGCCCACACTACCTGCCAGGTGTACCAAGCCCCACACTATCTACCAGGTGTACCAAGCCCCACACTACTTTCCAGGTGTGCCAAGCCCACACTACTTTCCAGGTGTACCAAGCCCACACTACTGGTGTACCAAGCCCCCATTACCTGCTAGGTGTATCAAGCCCCAATTACCTGCCACGCGCCAATACTTCTGGCAGTCTGGGCAAAAGGACGTTGAAAGATGCGACAAAATTTGAAGGCGTCGGTGCGTATCTCAATGAAGTTGTTGATGAGTGCCCACAGGGCGGCCAGGGGAAATGCTGATGAGAAGAGGTAGACATAGCCAAACTGGATGTATAGCTCCAGGTACTCAGAGTTTGACCCCTGGGGATACATGACATGTGACAGATGACATGACAAACAACATACATGACACAATCATCTTTATGACAGGTGATAGACTTTACTATGTCTAGTTTACTATTTTTAGACCTTTATACTAAAGCACTAGACCTAACCCTAACCCTAGTCAGCCCTACCAAGAACTTTTCCCTTTATACTAGACCACTAGACCTAACCCTAACCCTAAAGTTAGCCCTAACAAGAACTTGTCCCTTTATACTAAAGCACTAGACCTAACCCTAACCAACCCTACCAAGAACTTGTCCATAGAAGACTCTAGCACTAGACCTAACCCTAGAGTCAGCCCTAACAAGAACTTGTCCCTTTATACTAAAGCACTAGACCTAACCCTAACCCTAGAGTCAGCCCTAACAAGAACTTGTCCCTTTATACTAAAGCACTAGACCTAACCCTAACCCTACCAAGAACTTGTCCATAGAAGACTCAAGCACTAGACCTAACCCTAACCAACCCTACCAAGAACTTGTCCATAGAAGACTCTAGCACTAGACCTAACCCTAGAGTCAACCCTACCAAGAACTTGTCCATAGAAGACTCAAGCACTAGACCTAACCCTAGAGTCAGCCCTACCAAGAACTTGTCCATAGAAGACTCAAGCACTAGACCTAACCCTAGAGTCAACCCTACCAAGAACTTGTCCATAGAAGACTCAAGCACTAGACCTAACCCTAACCAGCCCTACCAAGAACTTGTCCATAGAAGACTCAAGCACTAGACCTAACCCTAACCAACCCTACCAAGAACTTGTCCATAGAAGACTCTAGCACTAGACCTAACCCTAGAGTCAGCCCTAACAAGAACTTGTCCCTTTATACTAAAGCACTAGACCTAACCCTAACCCTAGAGTCAGCCCTAACAAGAACTTGTCCCTTTATACTAAAGCACTAGACCTAACCCTAACCCTACCAAGAACTTGTCCATAGAAGACTCAAGCACTAGACCTAACCCTAACCAACCCTACCAAGAACTTGTCCATAGAAGACTCTAGCACTAGACCTAACCCTAGAGTCAACCCTACCAAGAACTTGTCCATAGAAGACTCAAGCACTAGACCTAACCCTAGAGTCAGCCCTACCAAGAACTTGTCCATAGAAGACTCAAGCACTAGACCTAACCCTAGAGTCAACCCTACCAAGAACTTGTCCATAGAAGACTCAAGCACTAGACCTAACCCTAACCAGCCCTACCAAGAACTTGTCCATAGAAGACTCAAGCACTAGACCTAACCCTAGAGTCAACCCTACCAAGAACTTGTCCATAGAAGACTCAAGCACTAGACCTAACCCTAACCAACCCTACCAAGAACTTGTCCATAGAAGACTCAAGCACTAGACCTAACCCTGGTCAGCCCTACCAAGAACTTGTCCATAGAAGACTCTAGCACTAGACCTAACCCTACCAAGAACTTGTCCCTTTATACTAAAGCACTAGACCTAACCCTAACCCTACCAAGAACTTGTCCATAGAAGACTCAAGCACTAGACCTAACCCTAACCAACCCTACCAAGAACTTGTCCATAGAAGACTCAAGCACTAGACCTAACCCTAACCAACCCTACCAAGAACTTGTCCATAGAAGACTCTAGCGCTGCCTGCTTCTTGTAGTGCTTGGGTATGTCGCTGTCCTCTGTGTCTCTGCTGGTAGAAGACAGACGGGCCTTCTGTAGCGCCTCGTCTACCTGTTTCTGTCTGCGCCGCATGAAGAAGAATGGGATCATGGCTTCTCCTATCTGTCCTACTATCTGTTGGGTGATCAGGATGGTGCCCAGAAACTGCAGGTAAACAGACAGGTACAGGTGTCTGACAGGTGTGACATTTGGGGAGCAGGTGGGTGACAGGTGTGACATTTGGGGAGCAGGTGGGTGACAGGTGTGACATTTGGGGAGCAGGTGGATGACAGGTGTGACATTTGGGGAGCAGGTGGGTGACAGGTGTGACATTTGGGGGGCAGGTGGGTGACAGGAGTGACATTTGGGGAGCAGGTGGGTGACAGGTGTGACATTTGGGGAGCAGGTGAGTGACAGGTGTGACATTTGGGGAGCAGGTGGGTGACAGGTGTGACATTTGGGGAGCAGGTGGGTGACAGGTGAGACATTTGGGGAGCAGGTGAGTGACAGGTGTGACATTTGGGGAGCAGGTGGGTGACAGGTGTGACATTTGGGGAGCAGGTGGGTGACAGGTGTGACATTTGGGGAGCAGGTGAGTGACAGGTGTGACATTTGGGGAGCAGGTGGGTGACAGGTGTGACATTTGGGGAGCAGGTGGGTGACAGGTGGGACATTTGGGGAGCAGGTGAGTGACAGGTGTGACATTTGGGGAGCAGGTGGGTGACAGGTGTGACATTTGGGGAGCAGGTGGATGACAGGTGTGACATTTGGGGAGCAGGTGGGTGACAGGTGTGACATTTGGGGGGCAGGTGGGTGACAGGAGTGACATTTGGGGAGCAGGTGGGTGACAGGTGTGACATTTGGGGAGCAGGTGAGTGACAGGTGTGACATTTGGGGAGCAGGTGGGTGACAGGTGTGACATTTGGGGAGCAGGTGGGTGACAGGTGTGACATTTGGGGAGCAGGTGAGTGACAGGTGTGACATTTGGGGAGCAGGTGGGTGACAGGTGTGACATTTGGGGAGCAGGTGGGTGACAGGTGTGACATTTGGGGAGCAGGTGAGTGACAGGTGTGACATTTGGGGAGCAGGTGGGTGACAGGTGTGACATTTGGGGAGCAGGTGGGTGACAGGTGGGACATTTGGGGAGCAGGTGAGTGACAGGTGTGACATTTGGGGAGCAGGTGGGTGACAGGTGTGACATTTGGGGAGCAGGTGGGTGACAGGTGTGACATTTGGGGAGCAGGTGGGTGACAGGTGTGACATGACTTCAACAAAAACTGACATGACTCCAACAAAAACTGACATGACTCCAACAAAAACTGACATGACTCCAACAAAAACTGACATGACTCCAACAAAAACTGACATGACTCCAACAAAAACTGACATGACTCCAACAAAAACTGACATGACTCCAACAAAAACTGACATGACTCCAACAAAAACTGACATGACTCCAACAAAAACTGACATGACTCCAACAAAAACTGACATGACTCCAACAAAAACTGACATGACTCCAACAAAAACTGACATGACTTACATTTTTGAGCAGGGCCCTGTCTTGTAGATAGAAGGCCACATAGAAGAGACAAATAAAGCAATTCACAAAGTCAAACTGAAACAAATAGGTGCATCTGTTAAGACTATTAGAATCCTTGCAGTTGCAGTACTTTAAACATATTGTTAACAAATGGGTGCATCTGTTAATATTAGTAGAATACTTGCAGTAGTTCAAACAATTTTTCCAGCAATATATTGGACAACGTGGTTCTATAATTTATTTCTACAAAAATTACCAAAATAGCTCTATTTATAAAATAGACAATTTAATAATGTTTTAAATATTTAAAAATATTAAATCTCTCTTTAGCTGTAAGAATACTTTAATTAGAAAATATACATATCAGTATCTGTCCATGTCAATGTCTACAGTATCTGTCAATGTCTACAGTATCTGTCAATGTCTACAGTATCTGTCCATGTCAATGTCTACAGTATCTGTCCATGTCAATGTCTACAGTATCTGTCCATGTCAATATCTACAGTATCTGTCAGTGTCTACAGTATCTGTCAATGTCTACAGTATCTGTCCATGTCAATGTCTACAGTATCTGTCAATGTCTACAGTATCTGTCAATGTCTACAGTATCTGTCCATGTCAATGTCTACAGTATCTGTCCATGTCAATGTCTACAGTATCTGTCCATGTCAATATCTACAGTATCTGTCAGTGTCTACAGTATCTGTCAATGTCTACAGTATCTGTCCATGTCAATATCTACAGTATATGTCAGTGTCTACAGTATCTGTCAATGTCTACAGTATCTGTCCATGTCAATGTCTACAGTATCTGTCAATGTCTACAGTATCTGTCAATGTCTACAGTATCTTTCAATGTCTACAGTATCTGCCAGTGTCTACAGTATCTGTCAATGTCTACAGTATCTGTCAATGTCTACAGTATCTGGCAATGTCTACAGTATCTGTCAGTGTCTACAGTATCTGCCAGTGTCTACAGTATCTGTGAATGTCTACAGTATCTGTTAATGTCTACAGTATCTGTCTACAGTATCTGTCAGTGTCTACAGTATCTGTCAATATCTACATACCAGTATCTGTTTGACAATCAAATGATTCTCAAAAGTTGACTGGAGCTTGTGATTTTCTGACAGGAAATAAAAGTTGACAGTTCACAGAGCGCAACAAAAGTTGACAGTTGACAGAACGCAACAAAAGTTGACAGTTGACAGAACGCAACCAAAGTTGACAGTTGACAGAACGCAACAAAAGTTGACAGTTGACAGAAGGAACTCAAAAAAGTTGACAATTGACAGAAGGAACTCAACAAAAGTTGACAGTTAACAAGAAAGTTAAAAGACAGTTAAACAAATGTTTACAATTAATGTAAACATACTGGTTAAATCATAAAAAATTAACAATTTTAATCAATAAAACCATTTAAAACTTGGGAATTATTTTATAATAAGTAATCCAGGTACTAACCAAACTTATTTAGCTTAGCCGCGATTATTCTGTAGACACCATTGAGTATTCCAATAGACACAGCATAGCCCACAGTGGGCAGGAAGCTGGCCAACTTGGACAACACCCCCGGATTTTCAGGCACATTTTTCTTCATCCAGAAGTCAGCCCAGAAGTAGGTCAACATTACGAAGAATGCCAAGGTCAGGCAAAAGGTGATGACGGGGATGGTGACGAAATAAAACTTGAGAACCCTCTTCCACTTGGGGTAAGAAGGCTCTGGCTCGCCTGTGACAGGGTTCTGGCTCATAGTTCCGTAGTAGTCTGCCCTTGGTTCCTCGAATCTACGGGAGGTTACAAGGATAAATTACAAAACAAAGTTTGATAGCAGAAAAACATTCTTAATGCAGCTGTTGTCATTCAAAAATTAGGACAATATGAAACATCCAAATTTTTATGTGAAAATAATTTCTTAAGGGGGAATATTGCCCTGACAATGGAAAATTGGGGGACGGAGTGGTCTAGCGGTAGAGAGCTGGACTGCTAACCCGTAAGTCTCGAGTTCGAATCCGGGTTCAATTAGTAGACCGTCCCTGAGTCCACCCAACTCTGATGGGTACCTAACTCACGTTAGGGAAAGTAAAGGCGGCTGGGCATAGTGCTGACCACACTATCCCTTCATTTGCCGAGGTCACAGAAACAAGTGAACTCTACTTCACTTGCCCCATAGACCGTCAGGTTTGAAAGGGAAACTTTACTTACTTTTAATGGAAAATTGAAGGGAAAATTGTCAAAAAAACTATTACACAAACACATATAAATATGTTACCATTGTAATTTGGATTACACAGATATAAACAGAAACTGGGATGATTCTTTTTTAATAAAAAAAAAAAACAACCAAAAATCAATGCATTTTAAAAATGGAATGGTAGTACACATAAAGTTATGTAATTTACCAATGGAATTATATACTATAAAAAGTTATGTAATTTACCAATGGAATTATATACTATAAAAAGTTATGTAATTTACCAATGGAATTATATACTATAAAAAATTATGTAATTTACCAATGGAATTATATACTATAAAAAGTTATGTAATTTACCAATGGAATTATATACTATAAAAAGTTATGTAATTTACCAATGGAATTATATACTATAAAAAGTTATGTAATTTACCAATGGAATTATATACTATAAAAAGGTATGTAATTTACCAATGGAATTATATACTATAAAAAGTTATGTAATTTACCAATGGAATAATATACTATAAAAAGGTATGTAATTTACCAATGGAATTATATACTATAAAAAGGTATGTAATTTACCAATGGAATTATATACTATAAAAAGTTATGTAATTTACCACTGTGTATACTACCCACACAACAGTAGCCAATTTGTTCACTAACTACATACAAGTGCCCCAGTACATTAGAGTTTTAAAACCTCTATGTCGTGCTGAACTGAGGTGTGCTCATGCCACAACTACACACAAGTGCCTGAACAAACTGTTAAATTAACTGACCTGGAAGTGCTCATGCCACAACTACACACAAGTGCCTGAAAAAACTGTGTTAAATTAACTAACCTGGAAGTGCTCATGCCACAACTACATACAAGTGCCTGAACAAACTGTGTTAAATTAACTAACCTGAAAGTGCTCATGCCACAACTACACACAAGTGCCTGAACAAACTGTGTTAAATTAACTAACCTGGAAGTGCTCATGCCACAACTACATACAAGTGCCTGAACAAACTGTGTTAAATTAACTAACCTGGAAGTGCTCATGCCACAACTACATACAAGTGCCTGAACAAACTGTGTTAAAGTAACTAACCTGGAAGTGCTCATGCCACAACTACATACAAGTGCCTGAACAAACTGTGTTAAATTAACTAACCTGGAAGTGCTCATGCCACAACTACATACAAGTGCCTGAACAAACTGTGTTAAATTAACTAACCTGGAAGTGCTCAGGCCACAACTACATTCAAGTGCCTGAACAAACTGTTAAATTAACTGACCTGGAAGTGCTCATGCCACAACTACATACAAGTGCCTGAACAAACTGTGTTAAATTAACTAACCTGGAAGTGCTCATGCCACAACTATACACAAGTGCCTGAACAAACTGTTAAATTAACTGACCTGGAAGTGCTCATGCCACAACTACATACAAGTGCCTGAACAAACTGTTAAATTAACTAACCTGGAAGTGCTCATGCCACAACTACATACAAGTGCCTGAACAAACTGTGTTAAATTAACTAACCTGGAAGTGCTCATGCCACAACTACATACAAGTGCCTGAACAAACTGTTAAATTAACTAACCTGGAAGTGCTCATGCCACAACTACATACAAGTGCCTGAACAAACTGTGTTAAATTAACTGACCTGGAAGTGCTCATGCCACAACTACATACAAGTGCCTGAACAAACTGTTAAATTAACTAACCTGGAAGTGCTCATGCCACAACTACATACAAGTGCCTGAACAAACTGTGTTAAATTAACTAACCTGGAAGTGCTCATGCCACAACTACATACAAGTGCCTGAACAAACTGTGTTAAATTAACTGACCTGGAAGTGCTCATGCCACAACTACATACAAGTGCCTGAACAAACTGTGTTAAATTAACTAACCTGGAAGTGCTCATGCCACAACTACATACAAGTGCCTGAACAAACTGTGTTAAATTAACTAACCTGGAAGTGCTCATGCCACAACTACATACAAGTGCCTGAACAAACTGTGTTAAATTAACTAACCTGGAAGTGCTCATGCCACAACTACATACAAGTGCCTGAATAAACTGTGTTAAATTAACTGACCTGGAAGTGCTCATGCCACAACTACATACAAGTGCCTGAACAAACTGTGTTAAATTAACTAACCTGGAAGTGCTCATGCCACAACTACATACAAGTGCCTGAACAAACTGTTAAATTAACTAACCTGGAAGTGCTCATGCCACAACTACATACAAGTGCCTGAACAAACTGTGTTAAATTAACTGACCTGGAAGTGCTCATGCCACAACTACATACAAGTGCCTGAACAAACTGTTAAATTAACTAACCTGGAAGTGCTCAGGCCACAACTACATTCAAGTGCCTGAACAAGCTGTTAAATTAACTGACCTGGAAGTGCTCATGCCACAACTACATACAAGTGCCTGAACAAACTGTTAAATTAACTAACCTGGAAGTGCTCATGCCACAACTACATACAAGTGCCTGAACAAACTGTGTTAAATTAACTAACCTGGAAGTGCTCATGCCACAACTACATACAAGTGCCTGAACAAACTGTTAAATTAACTAACCTGGAAGTGCTCATGCCACAACTACATACAAGTGCCTGAACAAACTGTTAAATTAACTAACCTGGAAGTGCTCATGCCACAACTACACACAAGTGCCTGAATAAACTGTGTTAAATTAACTGACCTGGAAGTGCTCATGCCACAACTACATACAAGTGCCTGAACAAACTGTGTTAAATTAACTAACCTGGAAGTGCTCATGCCACAACTACATACAAGTGCCTGAACAAACTGTTAAATTAACTAACCTGGAAGTGCTCATGCCACAACTACATACAAGTGCCTGAACAAACTGTGTTAAATTAACTGACCTGGAAGTGCTCATGCCACAACTACATACAAGTGCCTGAACAAACTGTTAAATTAACTAACCTGGAAGTGCTCAGGCCACAACTACATTCAAGTGCCTGAACAAGCTGTTAAATTAACTGACCTGGAAGTGCTCATGCCACAACTACATACAAGTGCCTGAACAAACTGTTAAATTAACTAACCTGGAAGTGCTCATGCCACAACTACATACAAGTGCCTGAACAAACTGTGTTAAATTAACTAACCTGGAAGTGCTCATGCCACAACTACATACAAGTGCCTGAACAAACTGTTAAATTAACTAACCTGGAAGTGCTCATGCCACAACTACATACAAGTGCCTGAACAAACTGTTAAATTAACTAACCTGGAAGTGCTCATGCCACAACTACACACAAGTGCCTGAACAAACTGTGTTAAATTAACTGACCTGGAAGTGCTCATGCCACAACTACATACAAGTGCCTGAACAAACTGTTAAATTAACTAACCTGGAAGTGCTCATGCCACAACTACATACAAGTGCCTGAACAAACTGTTAAATTAACTAACCTGGAAGTGCTCATGCCACAACTACACACAAGTGCCTGAACAAACTGTGTTAAATTAACTGACCTGGAAGTGCTCATGCCACAACTACATACAAGTGCCTGAACAAACTGTGTTAAATTAACTGACCTGGAAGTGCTCATGCCACAACTACATACAAGTGCCTGAACAAACTGTGTTAAATTAACTAACCTGGAAGTGCTCATGCCACTGCTGACTGTGCCCCACTGGTAGCACAGGGAGTTGCAGTACCTCTTCCAGCCCTCCAGGAACACTGTGGACCAGATCAGGTTGAAGACGGCAAACGTGGCCTCGCGGTACACGCTGTGCCAGGGGAAGAAGAAGTAGATGACCCCGATGAGTGCAGGTGGGATGAGGGAGATGGTGTACAGGCCAAGGAAAGAGAAGTACAGGGCTATCTTCACACCAAAATATTCTTCAATTTGTTCTGAGGAAACAATACGGAGGACCAATTCATTATAAGAAAGGTATAACAAGATAACTGAGTGTGATTCTTTTTTTCCTCTTATCTTAGAAACAACCGTAGAGACAATCTTAAAGACAATTTCCCCAATTGTTTGAGGGCATTAAATTTAAATTCACCAACATATGTTGAAGACATTCAACAAAATTTAAGATGATACAAATTTTTAGAAGAAAATTTCAAATTTTTCAATTCCTGAGGATGTGTAATGCTATTTTAACTTTATGAACTAATGTCTGTTATTCTATTCAGTGGCTAGCAGGTACAAGATTTGTAAACATGTTTTAACACATTTTAAAAACTTGAGAGACTGACCCAGTGGTTGAGGACTGAAATAATTTCTGAGTGTGTACCAAGAGTTGCCTAATCTTTTCAGTTTCTCTTCCTCGTGTAAAGGGAACAAACTCTTGATGATGTGACGACTCAAGTACTTTTTGACTGGATAAAAAACATGCCGGGTTAGATTAGAGGCTTAAACTTACACTCATCTACATCCAAATACAAACACAGTACACTAATAATCTAGACTTACAGATACAGACTTACACTCATCTACATCCAAATACAAACACAGTACACTAATAATCTAGACTTACAGGTACAAACTTACAAATACAGACTTACAGACATACAAACACAGTACACTAATAATCTAGACTTACAGGTACAAACTTACAAATACAGACTTACAGACATACAAACACAGTACACTAATAATCTAATGAATGGTTTACACACAAACAAACAAACACACTTACTGATGCTCTTGCCAGGGTAAAGTGTGTACTTGGGATAGCCGGGGATGAAGGTCTCGTCTGCCTCTGCCCTCATGCTCTCTATAGCCTTCAGTATGACCCGATGTTTCTCAGCTTTGGTTAAAAACCTGGTCAGGTCATCTAAACAGACAAATATTAAAGTACTTGGTCAGGTCATCTAAAGGAACAAATATTAAAATACTTGGTCAGCTCATCTAAAGGAACAAATATTAAAATACTTGGTCAGGTCATCTAAAGGAACAAATATTAAAATACTTGGTCAGGTCATCTAAAGGAACAAATATTAAAATACTTGGTCAGGTCATCTACAAGAACAAAAGAAACACACTACCGACAAGGTACCTCTAAGCCAAGATAAAATTATATCTGAATATTATTAAATGAAAAATCCAACATTTTGCTAGTGGAAACATCTGAAAGTTCCATGTAAGTTGTGTGTATGACCAACTGACCTGTATATTCATAGTTCAATATATCTGTGACTATGACCAACTGACCTGTATATTCATAGTTCAATATATCTGTGACTATGACCAACTGGCCTGTATATTCATAGTTCAATATATCTGTGACTATGACCAACTGACCTGTATATTCATAGTTCAATATATCTGTGACTATGACCAACTGACCTGTATATTCATAGTTCAATATATCTGTGACTATGACCAACTGACCTGTATATTCATAGTTCAATATATCTGTGACGAGCAGCTCTCTCAGGGATCCATCTTTGTATTTTTTGTTGATCTTGATTTCCTCTGCACCCATCAGTAGCCTCACCAGAGAGGAGCCAATGAACAAGATGGTCTCCTGTACAACATTGGATTCACCAGTTTACAGCAGTCAAAAATATTAGATTAACCAGTTTACAGCAGTCAAAAATATTAGATTCACCAGTATACAGCAGTCAAAAATATTAGATTCACCAGTTTACAGCAGTCAAAAATATTAGATTAACCAGTTTACAGCAGTCAAAAATATTCATCAGTTTCAACAGTCAAAAATAATCGAATTACCAGTCAAAAATATTCATCAGTTTCAACAGTCAAAAATATGAGATTTACCACTTTAGAAGTAAAAAATATTAGATTTACCAGTTTAGAAGTCAAAAATATTAGATTTACCAGTTTAGCAGTCAGTTTCAGCAGTCAAAAATATTGTTACACATAGCTAACTATAAGGAGCACCAATGTATGACCAGACTAGCTACTTCCATTATTTGATATACTGTTGATAAGTGTGAACATTATCTAATATACAGTTGACTGGTGACCCGTCAAAAGAGCACACGACAAAAGAGCGCCGACATAAGAGCGCCGACAAAAGAGCGCAGACAAAAGAGCGCAGTCAATTAAAAAAACACATGTTGTACGCTAAACGAATATGACATGTTTAACACTTGTTTTAATTAAACAATCGGCGGTACGATAAAACGACGTGCTTATTTATATATTATGTTTAATATGTTTTAATGCAGTTTGACAATATTTCTAACTCAAGTAACATGGAGAAGATCGAATCACAGAAAGGGAAAGTTATTATATTGGTCGAAGGCTACAGATGTGGAAAGGACAGAGCAAATGCTGGTGGAAGCAATATAAATGAAACTATAAAGAAACGTTTTATTCATTTGAAATATATTTTCATTTTGTTACATTTCATTTCAGTTAATATTCTAAATTTAGGCCTAACATTTAAAATCTTTTTATGTGTTATTAGATTGCGTTTTGAATCATTGGACTTCACGTTGATTTTATCACTTTTTTAGTTTAAGAAACTGAACAATTAGTTTTTTAATGAAACAATAAAGAGTTAACATCAAACGATGCCTTCTGATCTGAGTTAATTTTCTTGTTCCTATTTATTAAATATGGTTTTTCAATCTTCAGTTTGCGCTCTTATGTCGGCGCTCTTTTGTCGGGAAATTAGTGCGCTCTTATGTCGGCGCTCTTATGTTGGCACTCTTTTGTCGGGAAATTAGTGCGCTCTTATGTCGGCGCTCTTATGTCGGCACTCTTTTGTCTGCGCTCTTATGTCGGCGCTCTTTTGTCGTGCGCTCTTTTGACGGGGTGCCCAGTTGACTACTAAGTCTGTTCATTATTTGATATACTGTTTACAAATGTGAACATTATCTAAAATACAGTTGACTAGTCTGTTCAATATTTGATATACTGTTGATAAGTCTGCACATTAAGAAGTCTCAAAAAGAAGTTTAAGCTGTACAGAATAAAAATGGTATGAAGTGGAATGTACCTTATTGTCATCCCTGTAATTTGTCTTCACTATAAGCTCCGCTCCTCCTTGTGACTTTTGTGCCTGCAGTTTGGCAGTCAGCCATTCCTGTGCGGCCTGGTTAGTGGATTCATTAAATTCTAAAATGACCAGAGGTTCAAACAAATCCCCAGTGTATTCAGTCTCTGCGAGGTAGTGGCTGGACCTGATCTGTTCATCTATTAGTTTGGTCACAATGTACTTCTCGGTTGAGTAAGAGACTTTACGGTTAATTTCACTGGGCTCTTGGTGGCTGTACCTGGACACCATTTTACTTACCTTTAAAAAGACAAAAAATTGACTTTATTCAAACATACAATTTCTGAAAATCGGTTTAAATGAAATAATAGAAGTATAAGTTCAGTGAGATAAATTATCATTATGACTCTGCTGTTATTTTTCAGCATGAATCTTGTAACCTGTATAATGCTCCACTTCAATCAAAATGTAATAATATTATTATGATATTTGCGGATCCATTATCATCATTAAAGGTACCTCAACTTTAACAGTACTCAACCAACAGCAACAACTCAAGCAGACTAACCGCAACACAAAGATAATAATAAATATCAAATTATAGGCCTAAATAAATTTTAATACTGAACCAAACTAGATCTAGTTCTATTAAATTAAATAATATTTCATTAGGATAGATTCATTAATCATTAATTAATGATTGACTAATCATTAGAACATGATTAGGCCTAATGAAAATATAAATAGTCAAATTGAAATAGTTTAAATTTCAGTAATCTATTGTTTCAGGTACATAAAATCGTCCGAGGCTAGTAATGTGCGACAAAGTTGCCTTATTGTTAAGGCTTTAATAGAAGTATATTATATTGTGATATATTTGTGTCAAATATCATAGATAATTGAAAAATAAGCCAAAATCAATGGCTTAATATATTCAATATAGGCCAGAAATTAACTTTAAACAGCAGTGTTTGATAGCAATATTTGCTACATAAACAGCAACCATTTGTAAAATAGAGTGGCTTCCCCTTATCTCCCACTATAAGTTTACAAAAAAAAATTAAACAAGATGGCTGCCTAAGTAAATGAGCTTGGTTGCATCTGATAAAAGCATCGCTAGTCTTTATTGTTAATCTTTGAACCATTTTTAAGTGGTAAAATCACGATATAGCGTCTGTTATTATTCCGGAACTGTACAGCAGTAAAAAACAGTAAAACAATGGCGTAGTCTGTTGAGCCGTTCTGGAAACCACCAGAAATACTGTAAAAAATCATTTATTTGCCGCCATATTATTTTTAATAAATAATGTTTTAAAATGTGCAACGATTGATTTTAGTTGCATTTTAAATACTGTTTTGCTAATTATTTTGTATTAAAACATTAATTAGGCCTACTACACTCGACTATTAATAATAATTAGATTTACTAATTGCTGCTAATTTTCTGTCAATTAAACATTAAATTAAATCATTAATTTAATGCACTTGAATCTATTTTTATTTCAACGGTAAAAAAACCTATGATTTACAGAAACGAATGTTACAGAAACTCAACAAACATTACCAGAAACTTTCCAACGCTATATCGTGATTTTAGACATAAATCCTCCTATAAATGTGAAATAACTACTAAAATTTAAGGAGTCACCTTTTTTCACATTACTAGTCTTGGCCAGTTTACGCTATAACAATAGATAAGGCCTTAGGCCGTTTTTCCTTTTAGGGCCTACCGATCTGAATATTTCAAACATGGGGTAATCTATCGTTTTAGGTACGTAAAATCGTCCCCGGCTAGTAATGTCCGGAAAAAGTTACCTCATTGTCAAGGCTTTAATAGAAGTATATTGTGATATATTTGTGTCAAATATTATAGATAAATATATAATAAAGCTAAATCAATGGTTAAATATATCAATATAGGCAAGAAATTAACTTTAAACAGCAGTGTTTGCGAGCAGGATTTGCTATATAAAAAGCGGCCATCTGTAAGTTAGAGTGGCTTCCCCTGAATCTTGTGCTATAAGTTGACAATAAAAAAAAATAAACAAGATGGCTGCTATAGTAAATAAGCATGGTTGCATCTGTTGGAAACATCGCTAGTCTTCATTTATTACTGAAATTTTTTTATTCAGTTGTTTAAAAACACAGGTAGGCCTACACAAATGAAACAAGGAAACATTTTTGTATTTTTCAAAACATAAATCCTCCTCAAAATGTGAAATAATTATTAAAATTTAAGGAGTCACCTGTTTTTCACATTACTAGATCTAGTCGCGGGCGATTTTACATAACGTAGGTCTACCTAAAACAATGGATGCATCTATTCGGACCCGGGTCCTAATAGCCTCTGCCTCTATTGGGAACAGCCAATAGAATTGTTTAGATTTAGTTATACAAAAATTCTTTTAAGATGCAGAATATTGCTTTTCTGTTGTGATTTTTTTTCCTTGTAATTCTAAATGATATATTGAGATCTTGCTTTAAATACCCGATATTATTACTAACAAATGTTATGATGAGCGGGAGTCGTTAGGTCTATAACATAATTATGGCCTATGGTATGAACTTCTGGGGCCGAGCGAATGTTGAGCGCGCATGTTAAAATGTGTTTTTTTTTCTTCTGTTGAACGTAATTTGATCTCATAGGTTTATCTGTCCAAATATATATATATATATATATATATATATATATATATATATATATATATATATATATATATATATATATATATATATATATATATATATATATATATATATATATATATATATAAGTGTATAAAAAAAGCTCTATAGGCTGCAGACTACAGCTCCCGGGTCAGTTTTCTTGAACACGAATATCTCGCATGTGTTGTAGTACGCTTTAATAGAAGCAATATGTAACATTTGACCTCACAATGACCCCAAATCCGTTTTTCCCTCTTGCTGGGTTGGGAGGGGGGGGGGGGGGAAGGGACTACGACTACGAAAAGCTCATAGCAATGGTCTTACTATGACGTATGCTATACCCCTACACTGTTCTCATCTAAACCAAAGTGAACTCAGTGACCCTGGCTACACCATGTCGCGAGAGGCGATCAATGAAGCAACGATGTTTTTATAATTGGCGTGTTTAAAAACCTAAATGTAGAAAAAAAAATATAATCTATTTAAAAAAAACAATTTAAAAAAGACACTTAACAAACAAATCAATGGAATGTTAAACTTAGATAAATACACTTCACTTCACACTAAAACGAGAACTTTGATAGGTTCCGATCCCGTAACTGATCGAGAATCGGGATGATCTGCGTTCTCCACTCGACCACGACGTCTTACGACATTTACTAAATATTTAATTATTTTGTATATAGAGCTATATATAGGGTATTTAGAAATAGCAATACAAGAACTAACGCTAGCTAATCCGCATAACTAATTACAATAAAAGACAACAAAATACAAACAAATCCACACGAAAAAATCAAATAAATATAAAAGGTATAATTTTAAAACAGATTGTATAAGTGCTTAACGAACTTAATGCCGGGTCCCAATAGCTGCCGAGGCTATTAGGACCCGGATCCCAATAGCGGCCGTGGCTATTGGGACCCTGGTCCGAATAATAGCCACTTCCTAGATTCTAAAACAATTGATTACTCAAACAAGTCACATAAAAATTCGGTAATCTATCGTTTTGGGTACGTAAAATCGCCCGCGGCTATTTATGTACGAAAACGTTACCTCATTGTGAAGGCTTTAATAGAAGTATATTGTCATACTTTTGTGTCAAATATTATAGATAAATGAATAAAAAACATAAATCAATGGCTAAATATATCGAAATAGGCCAGAAATTAACTTTAAACAGCAGTGTCTGAGAGCAAGATTTGCTATATAAACAGCAGCCATTTGTAAAATAGAGTGACTTCCCCCTGAATCTGGCGCTAAAAGCTTATAAAAATAAAACTTAGACAAGATGGCTGCTATAGTAAATGAGCATGATTGCATCTGTTGGAAACATCGCTAGTCTTTATTTATTACGGAAAAGTTTTTATTCAATTGTTTAAAAACAGGTACATAAATGAATCAAGGAAACATTTTTGAATTTTTTAAAACATAAATCCTCCTCAAAATGTGAAATAATTATTAAAATTTAAGGAGTCACCTGTTTTTCACATTACAAATCGCGGGCGATTTTACGTACCCAAAACGATAGATTACCAAAAATTCTAATCTGAATCTATTACTTAGATCTAGATCTAGTTAACAATATTATTCTAGAATCAACATTGATACCTTAATCTTCAGATACACTGAGAGAATATGGAAAAATTTAATGAAAGTGAAATAAACACATCAGGACATTTTATGGCTGACTGCAGCTTGTTTTTATCAAGACATAGGCTAAACCGTAATATACACACTGCAAGTACATAATATTCATAATTTTAACTTGATAATGACTCGTCTTTTAATATCCTCTAAAATAATTTTTAAATCAGGCTACATTATAGTTTTAGATATAGATCTAGATCTAGTCACAATCTAGTGGCTAGTAAAACATTAGGCCTATAGCCTGTATTTTTTTTATAATGCATCTCTGTAATGAAAGCGGGTCGTTCTGATATTTGTAACGTGGGGATGGCGATAAAATATATTTGACGTAGCTTAACGCCTACTTTTTCTTTAAGGCAACTCTTCACCCCACCCATCCCCTTACCCACGGAGAACGTCTATATCCCCCCAGACAAAATATAAAAACTAGGCTATACAATTTATTTACAAAATATAATTTAAACGGTACCCCAAAAAAAAAGCGCAGCAGGAACATGCGTACCAAAAAAAGGCGCAACAGTGGAATGCACACAACGAACAAAAAAAAGCGCATCGGAAAAATAGCGCAAAAGAAAAAGCGCAAACAGAAATATGCACACAACGAAATATGAGCAAATAAGAAAATCCATCCCTCCGCCCCCGGTAAATTTAAGCGCACCCCCCCCCCTCAGATGATTTTCTTTTTAATATTTCTGATTTGTTATGTAATGAAATGAAAATAATGAAATGCTTTTAATTTTTATTCCCCATCAGTTGTAGATCTACTGTGCTTCGCTTTTTAAATAATGTGGCATCCGATTAAAAATAAAACATTGATTCAAGACCAAAGGGACTTAATTACAGGATCTTTTCTGAGAAAAAAGTAATTTTAAACCATACTGCTTTATCGTTATTATGTACTTCTTAATATTACTATTTTGAGGAATCATTTTGTGTCAAGTGAAGTAGCCTTAAAAAAACATTAAACTATAAATCTAGACTTGGTCTCGAATCTGGATCTAGATCTATATTAGATCTAGTTGTAAGGTATATTTAGAATCTATATCTAAGTCGATCTAGTTACTCAATAATTTAACAGGGATTGGCCCTGTTTTATAGAGACGATTGTAGGAAAAAAAGTCACAGGAAAAAAAAACACAGGAAAAAAAAACACAGAAAAAAAGTCACAAATAGATCTATATATTTGCATGATATTTGTTAATACTTTTATGTATTAAATATATAGAGAGTGCAAATTAACTTAGGATTAATTAAATGTAATGTAATATGTGTGTAGGCTGTATACTAGTTTTTCTTACTAAATCTAGAATTTACCCAAATTTCAAATTAAACATGACTCCTGAATGATAGACATCCATATTCAATCCATTAGGCACTAATTTGACGTTTTAGTTCGTTTTAAACGAAATTACTTAATTTAATATTTATTGACACTCACAAAAATGCACAACACACCTCTCCATGACAACTCTTCTTACGCTTGAAGCTAAAGAAAACCACAAATAGGTTAGACTTTTAAAGTGGCCATGTACCGTAGCTAGGCCAATGCAAAAATTTAATTTCAGTAAAACAATATAATAGTTACATATTTGGATAGGGGCTGTCAATCTGATTACAGATCAGTTTGAATTTTCAAAATCTGACCATAAACAAAAAAGTTATGAATTTTTTTGTCATTAAAAAACAGTCATTTTTTCAGACAACCGGGGTAGACCCTGAAAGAGGAAAAATACTGGGAGGGTATGGACCAAATTTTTAAGAGTTTTTCACTAAAAGTGGTATAAAAGCAAGTAGACTTCACCAATTGATATCATTTTAGGATATTTTATAGATTTTTGTATGCCGAATCCAATGACGCTATTTTAAAAAGTGTCCTTCAATTACATAATTGACTAATCTCATAGATTATGTAATACCCCCCTTTAAATTTTTTTAAAACATCTAATAATCAATGTGATAAGAAGTCATTGTTTAAATGTAACACTGTTTTAATCTATAATATGATATTTATATATGCTGAAGATAATGGTAGTATTTAAAATGGTCCAACATTGTTACATAACTATCAAATGTTAAGGTTATGTAATACCACCCTTTGCTCAAAATATACCATGAATTAGTTTTGAAATCACTTTTGTCAGTTAACTTCAAGTTAATAGCCTACTAAAAGAAAATATAACTAATCAAGTTTTACAATACAAAGAGAAGAATGCTATTACAATAGTAAATTTGTGATTATGTAACTTCTTAAAAGATGTTATGTAATCTATGTCCAATACTAAAGGCCTACTCTATTCCAAAAATGTAGGCCTATTTCATTATAATTTTATTTCTTATTTTAAATATCATACAACTTTTTTCTATAGAATTAGTCTAGTTACAAATGTGTCAGATCGGAATCAGAGTGTGCTTTATGATAATTACGTAATATTATTACCCATATTAAAATTAATAATTTTTACAATTTCAATAAAATAATTTTTGGAGGAAAATATTTTTTTTAAAACTTGCACAAGGTATAGATCTAGTGTAAGTTATAGGTCTATAACATAAATTTTATTTAAGCCCAATGTTTATGCTAGTAGTAAGTAGGCTTTTGTATTTTGTAGGCCTACCAGTAGGCCTTTTACAATTAAAAATTTTCTTTAAAAAAAAGCACGTGTTTGAGTGCTTGACTGTGTAGATCTTGTAGATTCTAGAAATTGTGTAAGATTACCGTGTTTGCCTATACACAGACACGTATACCACCACAAGCTTTTGCCTAGATTTTGTTTACTCTGACTAGCCAGATCTTCTGACCAACGAATTTTATTGCCCTATTACGTAAACACGACCGCTGGATAGGCTAGTCGGCCAACCCGATGAACGTGTCAGACGAATATTATGTAATTTCAGAGACAAAAGTCTGGCAAGATTTCTTGATCTTTGCCCGAGGGTTAGTAACATCAACTCCACAAAGTGAAAGGGGAGGGAGGTGGAGTATGAAACCACCACGAACTGAGTAGGTACCGTACGGGTGTTGTACAACATCAAAGGCTACAACCGTCGGCTCGTCGCGTCACGGACTAGTGGGGGCGGGGTGAGGCTTACGTAGGCTATGGGTGTTACATTGGGTGTTATACAGAATGCCCACCCACACCCACCCCACCCCTTTTTGGTCAATTTGGCAGGCTAGTATCCTCCACGTTGTTAAGCGTATTTAAATGTGTAGTGAAAAAAAGGGGGACCGGGAAAAAAATTTAAAGCCGTTTTTATGAAAAAGAAATGCTCTAATTTTAAATGAAATTAGGGTGCGCGAAACGCACAATTGTTATAATCGGACAGTAACCATCTGGATTAATTTAAAAAACAAGATAAATTTTAATCCTGAGCCGTAAATATTAATAAGACTTTTTTTCCCGTTTAAATGGGTAAGGACAAAATTATGAAACATGCCTGTCGGCTTATAGATCTAATCCATATAAAATAGAAATAGCCGTCGAGTCTAACACGGGAACACATGCAGGCCTATCTATCTTTAGAAATTGTTTACAGTATCATCCAATCGGATCGACCGCCTAGCGTCACGTGACCAGGCATTCGGATGTGCCACACGGTGTGTGGATCGACACAGCAGAGCAAGCAGTCGGACAGCGGTCGGCGCGTTAATTTTAATTTTTGCTCCATTTTAAAATGTATGGGCGGTTTTATTTGGGGGTATTGTAGAAAAAATCATACATATAAATAAACTTCCAGATTTAAGCAATGCAGCGCAGGGTTCAAATTAAAAATTGGTCTGTAACTAACCCGGGAAACTTGGTTCAACTTTGCTGTACGATATCTCCGAAAGTATTTAATATATTATGACGACGAACCCTGCGCTGTATACCTCTACATCTAATATGTATTTCTGCCAAGTTTCACTGTTGTAGTATGTAAACTCGATTCGTGTATAAAAATTTTGTAACGCGTCGTCTGTTTAAAGACGGCGATTCGAAGCACAGCCGAGCGGTTCAGTCGGACAGCGGTCGGCGCGTTATGTTTTGATTTTCGGTCCACTTCAAAGTCTATAGACGTCTCTATCTTAGGGCATTATAGTACAAATCATACATATTAATAAACGTCCAGATTTCAGCAATACAGCGCAGGGTTCAAATTAAAAATCGGTCTATAAATAACGCGGGAAACTTGGTTCAACTTTGCTGTACGATATCTCTGAAAGTATTTAATATATTTTAACGACGAACCCTGCGCTGTATACGTCTGCATCTAATCTGTATATCTGCTAAGTTTCACTGTTGAAGGGCGAAAACTCGAAGAGTCTATAGACTCAAAGTAACACCCCTGTTTTAAAAAAGTGAAAAAGCCTCCCCCTTAATCGGCACGTCGCCGCGGGGGGTAAAAAATGCGATTCAATCGGCGATTTCTTCAACGTTTGAAATCATATTAAAATCAAACGTATACAGTTTAAAAGGTTATTCAATTACGAACAGAATGGTGTATAACATGTTAATATAAACACAATAAAAGCATGCAAAAAATAGAGTTGAACATGCAGGGGGTAGGGAAAAGCCGATTTGTCCGATTTTCTCGGCAGCGGCATTGGCCTAGCTATGTACCGGAAGTTCCCCACTAGTGATCATCAAATAGCGGTCACGTGGTTTAAAAAAATAAATAAATTTGGTTGTCATTCAAAAGTCGTGTCTTATTTTAAAAAGCGCATGCAATATTTGATTTATTTCTTCATATAATGATAAACCTAATAGTTCTACAACCTCCAATTCATTTTTGTGACCTCCAGGCTGATATTTTAGAAGTTCTATTAATTTTAATGAGACCGACTTTTAAATTTAGCCTTCATTCTCCAAAGCAAATTTTAAAATGCTTTTCTGGCATATTTAGCCTTGCCACCTTTAGCATGTTTTTATAGCGTGAAAACCCGCCATTTTACTCGTGATAAACATTTTTAAAAGTAATTCTAAGAAGGTCTCTGGAACTAAGACGAAAAATCGTCGGAAGTCATGCATCCGGTCCGTACGCCATGTTGTTGTTAGCAACCTGCCACGCCTCCGGGTTAGCGAGAAATACTACTGTATACGCATAGGAATTTTTATAATTCATCTAAAAATATTTATTATGAAGTATGTAGATTGTAATTATTTTAAACTTAAGATTAGTAGCATTTAATAGAATGCTCCAAAGTCCACGTTTTTCATCGTGTTTTTTTTTTTAAATACCAATATTAAATTACCGTGAAATGGTAAGTTCGTCGGACTTGCTGCCCTCAACTCATGGCAACAATAGTTATGTTTAGTTCAACCACCTTTACTGCCCACATTTATCACGCTCATTACATAACAAAACTTAGGATCAAAACAGAAAGCCGACAAGGTTCAAAGGCTGTCATTGACGCATAACGTCAACAACACAAATATGTTCGGACAATGCCTACTGAGGAGAGGCCGACCAGAGAATAGCCTACAGCAAAATGTGCCTAAATTTCTTTTATAATTAACTTTTCTACCACATATTTAACTAAATACGTAACAAAAGTTGAGATTGTTATGTTAATTATCTTAGAGTATTTTTACTTACAATTGTTATAAATCATAATGCTTTTAACGTCTATAAATAATTTATGCTATCAAAAAATACAACCCACAACAATAAACATACAAAATTTTACAATTCTTAACAAATTAATAAAAATATTTCTAAAAAGATTTTTGTGACTTATTTTCTGTGACTTTATTTCTGTGACTTTTTTTCCGATAAAATTTTTCCACTGTGACTTTTTTTCTGTGACTTTTTTTCCTAGCAAAAACTGTGACTTTTTTTCTGTGTTTTTTTTCCTGTGACTTTTTTTCCGTTTACCTTATAGACTACCCTGGCCAATCCCAATTAATTGCACTGGCAGGCAATTTCAATTACGAAGTGTCTACTCGGAAGAAGATTTTTCTCCCTAACGTCTTCACTTAGTCGGCAAAAGATGGCTAGGGTTAGGGGTAGGATTAGGGTTAGGGTTAGGATTAGGGTTGGTGTTAGGGTTCTGCGGTTGTAAACACATGCATGCGCAGTACCATCGAAAACATCGCCGCGAAGGCAAGTCGCAGTTTCTCTCCATTGCGCATGAGTATCGCATGCGTATCTTATTCCGGCTAGCATCTGCCTTTCAATTATTAGGCCTACTACTAGAATATCAATATTAGACTAAATTAGTAGTAAATTAGATCTAGATCTAGATTCTAGACCGGAATACTATTTCATTCTACATCTAGATCTAGAGTCTACTAGATCTAGAGCTAGATTCTATTACTTATTATAGGGACTATAGGCCGTTCGGTTCAACACTTCCGGGTTTGTCATTTTCGTGGCATCTCACGGCTCATGCGCTTACTAAAATGGCAACCAGTTTCGCTTTCACTAAACGGTAGAGGGATAAAACTATTGATTACGATGCCATAGTTCATTTTAGAAAACTGAACTATCCGTTTCTATTTCAGTCTGTTATTTAAGAATTCTCAGATGTACTTTTGACCTAATTTCTTTGTTTGTCTCGCAAGCGGCGCGTAAGTGAAAATAGCTCTATGAATTCTTGTCTTTTAAATCAAATAACTCACATTACAATTAACTGGTAATAATTTCTTGGGTTTATGAGATGTGTTCGTGGGAATACGATCACCCCCCAATAATGCCATTTTATTATAATCTTGTTTGGTGAAAACGAGACGCGGGAAAATGTGTGCCGCGCAAGAATCCAATCATTTGGCTAGATTTATGACTGTTTTTTTTATGTCACACCTAAAAATAGAATATTTACGCTTTCTTCATTGATGATCGTTTTTATTATTTTTTAAACTGAAAGTGTGAATTATTAGTTAGATTGCAGATTTTGTAACTTGGTATACTTACCCTTTATCAATTTTAAAAGCATAGCATGCTGATTGTAAACAAATATAGTCATAAAACACAGAAATATAAAGTTCCAATTGCGATGTGCCACATCCGGGTCACACCCCCTCAAGAAAACACGTGTTTATTAAGCTGTTTATCTCACTTTACAACAGTAATTAAAATAAATTTTCAAATTTTTATCACATATTGGGTAAGATTAAGCACATGTTTACTAAAAATAAAAAGAAAACAAAGCAAATTCTGTTTTAATGAAGGTCACGGGTCAAGTTTTTTTTTCCTTCTGTCAAGTTCAGTGGAGGGTGCCACAGGCTGACCTGACTTTGGAATTTTTTTCAGTAATAATGAGTTTGAACAGAAAGTTAAAATATGCTAAATTAGCTTAGTTTACTAGTGTTCTAGCTATTATTGATACATTTTTAATAAAAAATTATTTTGTAATTCTCATCAAAAAGCCTACTTACTATTAAAATTACTAAAATTAACTAAGAATACTGGATCTCTAGCCCTAACTAAATAAAATTAAATAAGTTTTAAGTTAGATTAGCTATTACTATTACTAATAGATACTAATAGTACTAATAGCCCATTAGTTTAGTGACTGACGACTACTGAGTACAGGGTTACCGTCACCGTTAGGCGTTAGGGCAGGGGTTAGTACTCAGTCTGGAAAAAGTCTTGAATTTAGAAAAGTGAATTTCAGACTTAAAAAGTCTGTAAAATCACTAGTTTTTGGGCTGGAGGTTTTAGAAATCTGGACAAATTTTGGAATCTAGTTTTTAAAACAAAACTTTTCCACGAAGTCCATATTTTCCGACTAACTAAAAGCCTATAGTAGATAGGCCTACTTAGACTACTTACTTTGTGAATTTACTCTATTTTGCCCCCTGCACTATCCATGCTATATTGGGTTTACAGTTTACACTGTAATGTGTTGTGCTGTTTTATAGCTGTTTTGCAGAATAAACCAGTTTCCTCAGTTACTACATCATTTGAAGGGGGAGGGAAGAGATATTTTGTTACGTGACTGACAGTGAACTCACCATGACCCAAAGTATGTAGTTGTTACTGCTTGGCTGGCGGTGGTGTGTGTGATATATGTCACATTACAGTTCATGTGATGACTATTAAACAGGCGGGGTACTGAAATCTAGACTGCTGCAATAAATGTCATCTCTTTCAACTGGTCACTATGAGTTCGTAACCGTAAAGAGAATATTATTTTAGATCATATTTTTTTTAAATCAATATCTAGATCCATATTTAAAATTCTTAACATTGTTGCCTGCTTCTCTCCTGTTCACTTTCACATTTTCTTGTCAGTGAGAAGAATACTACAGTTTGAGGGGTCACAGTCAGTGCATATAAAACTTTAACATATGTTATAGCATATTGCAATAGCAATATGACACACACATGCTTGGGGCATTTAAACTTGTCAGTGAGAGAAATATTCAGCCACATTGTTAATGTAAGGGCAATGCCTTCTGACCTTTAGCACTTTGTACTGTTGAACTAGTGATAAGCTTAGAAGTATAAAAAAAAACAATTTCAAAAGTATAATTTCATTTTTTATTAAATTTAACCATTAATGTCCCATTCAGTCTACCAAAACTCCACCCATGATGGCCCAATGTAAGGAGCATAACTCTGTATGATCAAGTGAATAGTTTCACAAAATATTTGTTTTTGTCTAAATGAAATTGAAAATTAAGATAAAAACTACTGCTTAATGTTGGGAATAAACCTGGCTTTCCAACAGTATTAAATAGAATATATAGATCTAGTTATAGAATTTCGAGATAGAAAGAAACTATTATTTTTTAACTTTCAAATGCGCCATTGAAATTAGAAGACCGGAAAAGGATGCTGGAACTATCCGACTTCCTGTTTAGTTAAAAATTAGGATTTGTAGGCCAAATTTTAATGAAACAAATTTAATTTTTCTATGCGTATTGTAAGCGGGCGGCAGCGGGCGTTACGGGACATTAATGGTTAAATAATACTAGCCATCCCGGCCAGGCCCTGCTCTGGCTTCTGTGAAAAACCTTTCTGTTAAAGACCATTACCTGTGTGTTTAGTAATCATCATAAACCCGGCATTGCCCACCCAAACCACAACCAACCAAAACCAAAACAACAAAACGCAAACATAACGCTAATACAATTACAAATACAAACGAAAACAAAAACCTAACAACAAACCCAACCACAACCACAAACACCAATACAAACACAAAGAAAAAACAAACAAAAAAGCAAAAAAAAAGCAAATGAAAACAAAAACCTAACAACAAACCCAACCACAACCACAAACACCAATACAAACACAAAGAAAAAACAAACAAAAAAGCAAAAAAAAAAGCAAATGAAAACAAAAACCTAACAACAAACCCAACCACAACCATAAACACCAATACCAACACAAAAAAAACAACGAAAAAGCAAACAAAAACAAACCAAATCCAAACGCAAAACCAACCAAAAACACAAATACAAACCCAAAGAAAAAAACACAAACAAAAACGAAAAAAGAAAGAACAAAAACGAACCAAATCAAAACGCAACCACTAACGCAAACCCACCTAAACACAAAGAAAACACTAACGCGAACATAAACGCCCGGGGCGGAATCACCTGTTTTAGCTTAATGAACGACTATAGTACCCCAACTTATTCATAGTCTTTTGCATTCACTTAAACGAACGCACCTGTTTCAATTTAATGAACAATTATAATACTCCAAGCTTATCCGTAAAATACCTACAACATTTGCACTTGATCAATCCCCGCTAATTATGTAATTATTTTTTTTCCCAACACCAAAACAAAGTAATAAAAAGTAAATTATTTTCCACTAATGCAATGGTTTTATAAAGGGAAGTAATTGTGTTTTCCTAATTTATCAAAGGGAAGTAAGTGTTATAGGACTAAATAAAGACATAATTAGAATTTTTGTAAAAGATGATATTTTTTTTAAAACTTGTGTTTAATGAACATGCCGAAAATTATTACTTTCAGTTTGATAAATGAAAATTATTTCCCAAAACTTTCAATATTAATTTTTTAACTCATAATTTTAGACCATAAGGACTTTAATTATCTAACACTTTAATCCATCGAAGTATGTCAACAACAAACATATGTATTTTTACATACAGAATTGAGCTTTATATATTAGATTAATTATAAACATTTTTAAAATCTTCACAAATTAATATTTATATGATGAAATGTAGCCGGCGGTAATTTACTAACAATATAAAATTTGTGTGCACCAATACAATATATGTGATACTTTGATATTAGTTTAGTTAATAGTTATAAAAGTACTGTCAGACTCCTTTCTGTCCATCATCCTTTTGAAAAATACATTTATTACTTGACTGATTGTGGCATTTGGGAATAATTGTGCCATGATTTAAAGTTAAAGTGACACTATTACAATTTGTCACAGACAGAAATTTTTTTTATTCCCACAGTCTTTTGGTCATGCCAGTGTCAGGTACCATGTCAGAATTTTAACTTGTAAAAAGTTGTAAGCCAAGAGGAAGATAATCCCATCACTCATGTTGCGGAGAAGAAAAGCACCTTCAAGAAAGATCAGTGCTGCCTTGTTGGTGAGAAGAGACAGTGCAGCTGTAGTGTTGGTCCTGGTGGGCCTGCTGGCACCCTGGCAGTCACACGCTCAGGGATGTCCCCCTTCTTGCGCCTGCTCCTTACCCCCGGTGGACGTCAAATGCAAAGATGGACAAGTGCTGGACATTTTCACACGGATGAAGCCAGACCTGGTGACCTTGACCCTGGATAGCATAACCAGCCTGCAGAGATTGGATGCAGCCCGCATGTCTGACATGCACACAAATGGAACCACTCTGATAGAAATGACCATAGTTTCCTGTTCTGTAAAGGCAAGTGCTGAAAATGTTGTCCTCAACCCTGTACAATCAGGCTCCATACTAAGTTCAATTTATTGTACTTAACATTTAAATGGCTACAGCTATTTCTTAATATTTCTCAAAGCATTATATGTTACTTAAAACAATAACAATTTACAAATAAGTGTTTGTAAATTTTAGCTACTATGCTTGAATATGGGAGATAATCATCATTCTAGGTGTTTGGTGGTCTGGTTTTTTTAGCATGTCATGTGATGATATGGGCTGTTGGGTAAAAAGTGTAATAAAGCTTGACATCAGTTATGCATGATTCTTATTCTCAAAATATGTTATTGTTTTATGTAACAAATAATGCTTTGAGAAATATTATAAACAGCCGTAGCGAGTCATTCTTCATTGTAAGCTATTTGTGTTAATAAAATTGGTTGTATGTTCAGTGATGGTTAACTCCAGCTGATGTATTCAGTGCACATTGGCTGTATGTTCAGTGATGGTTAACTCCACATTGGCTGTATGTTCAGTGATGGTTAACTCCAGCTGATGTATTCAGTGCACATTGGCTGTATGTTCAGTGATGGTTAACTCCAGCTGATGTATTCAGTGCACATTGGCTGTATGTTCAGTGATGGTTAACTCCACATTGGTTGTATGTTCAGTGATGGTTAACTCCAGCTGATGTGTTGCAGGACATTGGGGCGGAAGCTTTCCACAAATTCCCTAACCTGGAGTACCTCGACCTGAGCCAGAACGAGGTGACCACCATCAACCCCAGCGCCTTCTCCAGCCTGGGGCACCTGCTGTACCTCAACCTGTCCCACAACCAGCTCTCCAGGCTGGACGGCATCTTCACCCCCCTGGGGCAGCTTCGTAGTCTGGACCTCAACACTAACTTCTTGAAGGTAGGGACAATTAGATTTCAACACTAACTTCTTGAAGGTAGGGACCCTCGGGACAATTAGGTCTCAACCATGAATTGTTTTTTAATGTGGGACAATTAGACCTTAACACTTACTTAGGAGTAAAGATAGCTAGATCTTAACAGAAATATTTTACTTAAAGTAAGATAGGACCCTAAAACATTTTTCAAATGGTTTGGACCACTTTACCTGAACACAAACTTCTTCAGTTCAGAATTTCCGCATTAGAAATTTGATCAATCAAATTTTACTTTTCTTTTTTAAATAGTTAAAAACAGATATTTTTACCAAATGTAGAATAAGTATGTGCTGTTTAATACTGTAATAGACTATATTCTTTTGATGTTTTTTGATAACTATAATGGGAATAACCTTTGACATTTGTTATACAGGAGCTATCAGCCAATGTGTTCAGTACCCAGAACTCCCTGACATCACTCAGGCTTGACCGCAACCCCCTGAGAAGTTTATCTGGCGACTCCTTCAAGGGCCTGAACAAGCTGAAGGAGCTGCGTGCCAGGGACTGTAGCCTGGTGCAGGTTGACCCAGATGTCTTCCACTCCATGGTGCTGCTCTCTCTCATAGATCTAGGTCACAACCGCTTGAGCTCCCTCCCCTCCCCTGACGCCCTGTCTAAGCTCATGTACCTGAAGGTCATTTACCTGGACAACAACGAGATCCAGGTCATCCCGGAGAAAAGTTTTCCAGAAACCCACCTCCAGACCCTGGACCTTTCATACAACCGCATCAGCAAAATTGATGCCTCGGCCTTGGTCGCAGCTTCTATCAGGACCGTTGACCTCTCGTTTAATTTGATTTTAAAGATAGAAGAAGGCACGCTGAAACCTTTGGCTGGAGAGTTGGAGAACCTGAACTTGGCTGGCAACCCACTCAGACATCTACTCCCCGGCACATTTTCAGACTTGAAACAAATGAGAATTTTAAATTTATCAGGGTGCTCCCTACTGGAGGTACGGTTTGATGCCTTCAATAGTCTGACTGAGTTGAAAGAGTTGGACTTGTCCCAAAATACCCTCCATTACCTGCCGGAGGACCTGTTTAGTGTGTTGAATGTGCTGAAGAAGCTTTACCTGCAGTCCAACCAGTGGGTGTGTGACTGTAAAATAAAATACTTGAGGGACTGGCTGACAAAAGCCAGCAGCCTAGAGAAACTCAGCTGCACATCTAGCAGCCAACAAGACTGCCAGCAGTTCCACTGTGTGGCGCCAACGTTACCCAACGTTCAAATCTCAGAGTTGAAAGACACTGACCTGCTAGTATGCCAACAGGCCAGCTCCTCCGCTTTACCTGCAAGCACTCAAGGCGCCATAGTTGCTTCGTGCATGGGTTTCGCCATCGTCCTGCTGATCATCAGCATCTACATCTGGCGCCGGGAGAAGACGGGCCACCAGCTGAAGAAGATGTGCACCACGTCAGAAGCAGAAAGCTCACACGTCATAGACGAGGACTCCAAGGTCCCGCCCCTCCCCAACTGTGATAGAAACTCTCTGACCCACTCTGACCACAACTTTGTGTTCCGCCACTACTTTGACCACCTGGTCACTGACCCTGAGGAGATGGACACAACTGAAGACGAGGAAGTGCCGGAGGCCGAGCCACTCAAGCAGAAAGACAGCTTGTACTCATCTCAGCCTTCCCTCTACAGTAACCATAGCGACGCTGCCTACGGCATGGAGTCTACAGTTTGACGGCATTTCATTTCATAGCACACCTGCAATTCCCCTGCCTTGATGCTTTCTCCTGGCTATTATTATACATTGATTATTGAGAAATTATGCTCGATACATCAGCTCCTGCACAAACTTCACTCATGTCTGTCCTAGTATAGGGACACTTCAGCACAACTTCATACTTACAATGCCAATATAAGTCTGTTTGACTTCAGCTAACATGATTTTTTTTTAAAGAAAATATCTTAATTAGCATAATCCTGCTAAATACCTCACACGACCTGTCTACAGAAAAAACTGTCTGAACCTCTGTATTGCCACCCCATGTTTCTAGTTCTAGCAGACACAACCGTCTTGGGTGCCAAAGTTATTCTGACAAGCAATAATGACCTTGAACTATCCTCAATGATGCCATAACTGCTGACCTTTTTTTCTCTGATGTTTGGAGGTGGTGATGTAAAAGCTTTAAATTTGTCCAATGTTTTGTTGTACAGTTGTACATAGGTGTCAGGCAGTAGACCCACCCAGCACTAGCTGTGTGTAGGTAGTGTGTCAGTCCATTAAGTCATGCAATTGTTTGTGACGGATGTAGTGGATGATACTTTGATCAGTGGCATTCATTAAATACTGGAGTAGTTCAGCAAGTGTATGTGTCTCTAGATAAGAAGTAACTTAGTTCATAGGAATGGCAGTAGTTGTAATTTACCAAAATTTGTATGTTGTAGTTGTATCAAGGGTCATGTTGTAATTTACCAAACTTTGTGTGTTGTGATTTGTTTGATGGATTTGGTAAAAAGATTTGTTCCTACAATTTTGGTGTTCCTGTTTGAAAGAAGTTTACACCATGTGACCCCCTCTTTAGCCAATGAGCACACTATGCTCAAGCTATGGTTGTATTGTTTTATACAAACATTTCCACTTCCCACCCCCAGGACCTTGGTCGAAATGGTTAGGGAAAATGTGCACCCATTTCTAGCATCCTGTTTTGTTTTTTGTGAAAGCCAGTTCCATTTCTGCTACAATTAAGTTTTTTGTGTGTGGCATTCGGGGTATAGAATCTCATAAAATCTTTTAGAGGCCAAACATTCAGAAAGATTTCTTCTGGTTACTATGCCATGCATGGTCTTCTGGTATTGTTTGCCCCTAGACATTCCAGTTCAAAGCCCCTTGGCTCATTTTAATTATTTTTTTTTGGCTGCTTCTTTCATTCCCATGCATTGTTTTAGAGTTATTTACCCCTACACATTCCTATTCTAGAAGATTTTGTTGTGTTTTATTTTAATATTATTTTAATGGAATTTGATATCCCTGAAATGTATTTAAGTTTAGCTTGTTTCCACCATACTTAATTGATCTGGCTACCAGTCCCTGAGAAACATTTCTCACCAAATTACACTTGTAGCTTTTTAATGAAAGTACAAAAAAATTATCAGCCCGGGAAATCAGTTCTTGGTTTGTATATGTAATTTAAAATAGCTTCAGCTTGGGTGAAAGTAATTATTTAAAATAGGCTCAGCTTGGGTGAAAGTAATTGTTTCGCGTAAGTTTAGTTCTTCCCTGTAGTCTCTCAGTGAAATCTTTCAAATTGTTTTGTAAAATGTAGATGCCCTTGCTTTCCTCTTTAAGAGATATTACAAGTTTACAGTGTTTGTACTGATTCTTTAGCAACTAGACTTGTAGAAACACTCCCTGCCATATACATTTTTTTACATAATTATACAATTTTTTTCAAGTATTTTAAATTGTAAGATGGTATGTCTCAGCTCAATTTTGTTTCTTGCATGCTTATTTATTTTAAATTGTACCATAATTATTTGGATGTGGTTATGTTGTGTATGAAGAGATTCTTCTTTAAGTGTACTTTGATATTGTACCAGTAACAGTGGATGTCAACATACACTTGTACCCCTGACTTTCTGGTCAGGTTAATTTATTGTACATAGCTGTAGAACACTAGCTCAACTTTTAAAAAAAATTCTTTACATTCCATGACTCATCTTTGTAGTTCTGAATTTATGTTAAAAATCATTCCTTTGCCATTGTTTTATATTTTTTAATTTTTTTTTATACAGAAGAGTTCTTTATTTACTTCAGACATGGCCAGATTTTTTTGTTAGTGAAACCAAATGTAATTTCTTATTTATTTTTTTTATTAATTACAACATGAATTTGTTTTAGAGGTAATACTTTACAGCTGTTTACAAGATGAAAGAAACATTTCTGTTGGTCTTTAAAAGAGTTGTGTACCTTGTTGGATACAGAAATACTTTGGTTGTTTTATTCTGGTCCAGCTGTACTTCAGGTGGTTTTTTATACATAGTTTTTATTGATGGGCCTTAGCTAGGTTGTACTGACTGAACTGTACATTTTATTTAATATAACATATTTAGCATGGTGTTTAACATCATGTTTAACATAGAATGTTTAACACATGATGAATAACAGTTGGTGTACCACATGATGGTACTGTCTGTAATATGCAATATTTTCTCAACCCTGATGTAACCCTGCCATCAGGTTATGTTACCCACTGGTCCTGTAATGTCCTGGTCCTTCATGGCGCCAGGTCCCCTGATGTCCCCTATACCCCTGTGTAGTTAGCTTAGGTCTGCCCATGCTTACAAGTAGCTGGGGTCAGACGTTCAACTTTAGATAGTCAGATGCCATTACCTAATTCTAGGCGATGCCCCTTCCTTATAAGATGCGAGACCTTATATGAGGCCCTTACTATTTTTGGATTAAGGCCCTTACTTTTTTTGGATTAAGGCCCTTACTTTATAAGGTGTGAGACTTTTATCTTACATGGCATGGCTCCTTTGATGTATGTTGTGGCATCTGTAAACAGAACAAAACTAACAATATGAATCTTTACTAACCCTTAATAAGCCATAGAACTTTATATACAAATCTGCACCATTAGTGCTTTTTATAAATCTACATCCCAGAATGCACGTTTTTTACCATTTTTTAAATAACCATCATGTATTTTTTATGTAATCAAAGAAAAGTATATAGATGAGTGTCAGTCATATCTGTATTTGTCAGTGATGTCAGTCATATCTGTATTTGTCAGTGATGTCAGTCATATCTTGTAGTCTGTTATCTGTCAGTGTTTGAGTGACTCAGTAACAGCTTGTACTGTTGTTTATCTTGCACTCTAGTGCCAGAATGAGGCCAGTGACCTACTTATCTAGGCCAGTAAATGAAGATTTATAAATCCTAACTTTTGCCATCACCATTCCACTTGGTTGGTGAATAAATTAGCCTGCAGCCACACCACTCAACTGCTAGCCACACCACTCTACTCCAACTACATTGTGACTGTCCACTCTACTCCACCTACATTGTGGCATTCCACTCTACTCCACCTACATTGTGGCATTCCACTCTACTCCACCTACATTGTGGCTGTCTGCTCTACTCCACCTACATTGTGGCTGTCCACTCTTCATTGTGGCTGTCCACTCTACTCCACCTACATTGTGGCTGTCCACTCTACTCCACCTACATTGTGGCTGTCCACTCTACTCCATCTACATTGTGGCTGTCCACTCTACTCCACCTACATTGTGGCTGTCCACTTTACTCCACCTACATTGTGGCTGTCTGCTCTACTCCACCTACATTGTGGCTGTCCACTCTTCATTGTGGCTGTCCACTCTACTCCACCTACATTGTGGCTGTCCACTCGACTCCATCTACATTGTGGCTGTCCACTCTACTCCACCTACATTGTGGCTGTCCACTCTACTCCACCTACATTGTGGCTGTCCACTCTACTCCACCTATGGTGTGGCTGTCCACTCTACTCCACCTACATTGTGGCTGTCCACTCTACTCCACCTACATTGTGGCTGTCCACTCTACTCCACCTACATTGTGGCTGTCCACTCTACTCCACCTATGGTGTGACTGTCCATACCACTAGTTAACACACTGCTAGACCATGTTTGTTTGTTTTTTATATTTGTGTATGTTTTAATTTCAGAACAAATTGATCTATTTACAGGTGTATATAGAATATAACTGCTGGTATGTAATTGTTATCGTTAGTTCAGTGTCATGTTAGTGGATGCTAGTTATCTGTTATCATAGTTCTATGTGTGTAGTTAGAAATGTATGTCAGCTGTATGTTATTGTTATGTACTATATGATTGATGGGAAAAAGCTAGGATTAAATTAATCTATACATGATGAGATGCCTTGTTTACTTCCTGACTTGCCAGTTAATCAAAAGATGTTTGTGATCGTTGAAATGAGTCCAAGAAACCACAAGATTGGTAGAAGCATGGAAAAGCACCAAAATAAAAAACAAACACTGAAACATTACCTAAGATAGAAGGCGAAGTTGGCCATGTTTGATTGGACTAGAAGAATTTGTGTCAAGCCTTACTCACGTGCCCCAGCAGCAATACCTATGTGTGTGTGGGGGGGGGGGATGCGTAACAATTTAATCTATTAGTGGGCTCATTGGTTAACAAGTACTTAACTCAAGTCCGTAAACTGAGCTCAAGACTTTTAAAATCACGTTCTGGAAACTGAGCTCAAGACTTTTAAAATCACGTTCTGGAAACTGAGCTCAAGACTTCTAAAATCACGGTCGTGTGTGATCGATATAGAAGGATTTAATTTTTTTTATTAACCCTATCCCTACAACCCTATTTCACTGTATTCGACTACAAGGCGGGTCATTTTGACCCGTATACTTTTTATATAAGAATCTATTATTGCATATGTATATTTTTTATAGCATAACTATTATTTCAATGATAGATGGACACTAAAATTATAGTTTATACATTTCTACACTAAATTTTAGTTTTAGGTAATTTATTATTATACTTTTTAGGCATAAATAAAACTAGACGTTACTAAATATAAAATTGTATACCTTTACTATCAATTTATTTTTCATATGCAAGAAAACTTAATCACAATTATTATCAGTTTGCACAGTAAAGCTATATAGACTAGAGATAGAATCTATATATTTAACAAATAGTTATTTTCCCATCTAACATGTATCTTGCATAATAACTTTTGGATGACGCTATTGGGCCCAACAATCAGTGGGTGGTTTCAGAAGGCTTCTTATTTGATCTAATGTGAATTGCAGTAGCTTGGACATAGTTCTCTATACTCAATGCTCAACTTGGGGCAGAACCAACTTTTTTGACAATATACAAATTTTGTAAATCTGCTGCTGTCTATTTGTAATAGCTGTCACTTTGTATTTCAACTTATTGGAGACATTAGTTGGAAATTGAAAAATATGGTCATTAGCTACCACTTAGTTTGCCCATTGGGGCATGTTGCTAGAGCCATACATGGATGATTTTATGCAGTCTTTCCATTTTGATGTCATCATTTTTGCATCAATATGCATGCTTGACACAGATTAGTAGCCAAACTTAGTTCAATGTAAAGTACAAAGTTACCAGAGATTTATACATTAGTTATCTCTATATCAATATCCATTGATTTATCGAAATATGGTTCCATGTACTTTCCATGTGAAAGCTGGTCAAGGAGTTGGTCCTATTTTACCCAACTATGGTTGGACTGTCTGAGGTGACATGGTCTAACATCTATGGACCAGAAAACTGACCTCATCAGATGGCTTTTGTCGCAAAAGACTGCATAGATACAAATCAATATTGGCTTCCTGCTGTATCTTGATTATATCCTAAATACTTTATTGACAGTATGGCCCTAATTTCCAAATTCAGCAGCAAAAATAAGTTCAGGTCTGATTCATCGCTTTTGAAATTATACAGTAGCCAATGAACCCATGCAGTCATCAGTTGGTACATCTTTCCTTACAACTTCTCAATGAGTAGGCCCAAACCTAGCAATCCACTAGTTTCATTTGTAACAACAAGGTTGAGTCTAAAAACATGCTATCAACAATGTTGAACAAAGGATTGTTGCGCTTCGGCGCTGAAAAAAATGTTTCTTATTGCTGTCTTCAGTAAGGCAGGAAGGGATACAAACTTATGAGCCCAAAAGGTCTAGCTCCAAGGGAAGTTGTTTGAAACTTCTATAGATTTATACCACTTTCCCCTGCTCTAGTAGAGTTTTTCTCTATATAAAAGTATACGGGTCAATTTGACCCATGTTAGTAGGGAGAGGAATAGTGAACCTAAACCTGCTCACCCTCATGCACACGTGCAAAATTAAACATTCATTTTTATGCTGAAATCAAGCATTGTATGTGTAGGTAGCATATCTAGAAGCTCAAAACAATTGGTCCAGTGGTTGACCAGTAATTAACTAAAATGTAGCAGTGTCGGGTCAATTTGACCCGCCTTGTAGGGATAGGGTTAAGACATTTCTGTTGTATTTTATTAGTAACTGTTTGTGCAGGCTACCAATATTTTACTGAGTGCAGTAGAAAACTATTTGTTTATTGTTTGAATCAAACTGATTTAGGAACAAAAGCTGAATAAAAATAAACCGGGAGTGATCCCTCCTAAACTTTCTCGAATATTCTTATATAACTCGGAATATAGACTTAATTTTTAATTACTTAAACTTTTGAAAATAGAATAGAATCTCGTAGAAAAAAGAATTGCGCACCAAGCGAACGCCAAAACAAAATGTGCATAATAGTGCACAATATTATTAATACTTTTTAAATTTACATGCGTTTTTTGAGAAATCGGAAATAGCGTAAATTAGTACTTCCGGTCAACGGAAATTACTCAAAATTTGACAGAAGGTAGAGAATTAGATCTTTTACTTACATGTGAAATAGTACTCAAGATATAGGCTTTTTAAAATTTCAAAGTAGAAAAAGTACCACTTCCGGCTATCGGAAATCGCTCAAAAGTTGATACGGATCTACGATTTTGATAAAATACACACACACACAGACATACGGACAAGATTGCAAAATTATGTTTTTCCGTATCAGTGAGGTGTAAAACGTCGAGATTTGTAAAATTCTCGATTTTTTTTTTTTTGCACGATTACAATACTTTCTTTATACTTCGTATATACGAGAAAGTAAAAAACAACGTAGAATCGTGTTATTGTCCTGTAGCTGTTATACATTTTGCATTCTTTCAAATCAAAGCTCTACCCCCCACCCCCATGTCCTTGCCTGGTTTCATCATGCAGTGAAATACATAGGCCAGGCTACAGGCTATCATAGGCCAGGCTAGTGGCTACCATAGGCCAGGCTAGTGGCTATCATAGGCCAGGCTAGTGGCTATCATAGGCCAGGCTAGTGGCTATCATAGGCCAGGCTAGTGGCTATCTGGTTCCAGGTGAGGCCTGAGTCATGAGACCGTGGCTCACATTACTGGACAAGTTAAATGCTTGTGGTCAACAGGGGCTGGCAGAGAGGGGGCTATGCTAAGTAGCCTTCATCCGCATGCAAGATGGGTAACTCAATCGCCATTTGAGCGGCCACGGTAGATTAGGTTCTATTCTAATGGGCAAGGGCAGAAACACCCTGGACGAATTTCATTGGCTGGTTTGGAACACCCTGAAGAGATTTGATTGGACGAGTGAGACACCCCGAAGCGTTTTGATTGGTCGAGGTTTATTTGCCTGCTGCAGGTCGGGGTACTAAAGTTGACGTCAACACATTTGTTGTCGTCGTTAGGGGAATCCCAGGCTTGTGACGTCACAGCAGCCGTGACATCACGTTGGTTTCACGCGAGATTTGGGCGGTTCAACAAAACACAGTGAGTACTTGTAACCTCGATTTAACGTGTTTAAATCTTTTGGTCAACTAATGCTCTACTCATGATAACTACTTTACATTGTCTAGAGTCTAGGGATCGAATACAACTCCAACCAACTCATATTACATTGCGTATTACATCACGTAGTTTTGTTTGTTTAAGGTTTTTTTTCATGAGAAATAGTTGACGGAGTTGAGCGACATCAAAGATCAACTTTCGTGAACGGTGTCACGTTCTCTGATGTCACGCTGTCACATTTTGTCAGACACCACTACTCTAAGTGTCACATTCATCTACCCCCCCCCTCTATATCTCCCTCACTCACTCACATACACCTACACAAACACACAAGAATGTGCTATGCCCCCCCCCCCCCGAACAAATTCTACCGACCCCCCCCCCCCCGAACGAAATGAAATTTATATAATTTATATAGAAAATATATACTTTTAACAGTGTTCGCCCCCCCCCCCCCCCGAAGAAAGTCTACCGCCCCCCCCCCCCCCCCCCCCCCCGAAAATTTCAAGTGCTCCCCCGGAGAAAAAAGTCTGGAAGAAACACTGCAGCCGACTTTACTTTCCCAAGCGTGAGTCGGGTACCCATCAAAGCTGGGTTGACTCTGGGACTTTCTGCAGTCTAGAGCCCGGACCTTCGGGCTAGCAGTCGAGCACTCTAACACCCGACCACAACGTCTCATCCTTCTGGTTGTAATGTTTGCTAAACAAACCATTGTTTGTAGCTCAAGGGTGGTAACTGTAGGGCTAGGGGGTGAACTCTTCTGTTTCTCATTGGTCACTGTAGGGCTAGGGGCGGAACTCTTCTGTTTCTCATTGGTCATTGTAGGTCTAGGGGCGGAGCTGTTCTGTTTCTCATTGGTCACTGTAGGGATAGGGGGTGAACTCTTCTGTTTCTCATTGGTCATTGTAGGTCTAGGGGCGGAGCTGTTCTGTTTCTCACTGGTCACTGTAGGGCTAGGGGCGGAGCTGTTCTGTTTCTCACTAGTCGCAGTGAGCTACAGTCTGACGTCATCTACAAACTACGTCACACTTTATTCCCCGCCACATCGGCACAAAAAGTCAGACACCTCACCAGTTGGAATTTTTTGTACACATAAAATTGTTTCCAATACATTAACTGAACTATTTCAACATTAGCTATTGTGATCAATTTTAGAAACAATTCATAGAAAAAAATACGGGGGAAAAAAGCCTTTCTAAAATTGAGTTTCAAATGTTTAAGTTAAAAAACGAAAACATTTAACGTTACACTTATTGACCTTTCCCATCGCCAGGTATCATTAAACCCCATACAATCCCCCACCCCTAGCGGTGTGACGTCACTTATTGATGATCCTTAAGTTCCCAACTGCAGGAAGTTTCAAAGTTTCATATTGGAACCACAAAAACTCGGCTTGATTGTTACATACCCCCACACACCCCTCTCTGCGTCACAGAACGTCACAGTTTATTCCGCAACTCTCTCTCCCCCCCCCCCCCCA